ATAACATAGTATACAACTTCACTATTCTAAGTGTATAGTATGTCCTCCAGCTTTCTTCTATAAATAATGTGTTTAATTCGTATTTAAGATAGCTAGAAACTTTAAATCGAATTAAAACAAGTTAAAAGTTAAGGACATTAATCTCAAATAACAGCATAATGTCCTTCAGTGTCCCCCAAGTTTCTTTTTCTATTCGACATCAATTTACGGTGAAAATTACCTTTACATAATAATGCATTATCACAACTGGAACGTTCTGTTGCATAGTAAGATAACAGTGGACTTATTCAAAGTGTTCCATTTAGTATACAATCCTTTCAGAATATTAACAAATCATTTTGATTATCCTGAAGTCGTATATTAAAATTGCACGAAAATATCCCATATATTAAGTTATTTATTAGAGATATTTATATAAGCTTTCATGGTAGGTATAAGGAAAATTCGTGCACAATCGTCTGTTTTGTAGGAGAGACGATTGTAGTTAACGTTGGAATTTACAAAGCCAGCTTCATTCTATCAGAAACTCTTCATTTGAATATACCTGAATACCTCTGTCGATTTTCACACCGGGACTGCAACTCAGTATCTCTCGCTTCAAAAACCTAACACGTTATCCACTGAGTTATTGAGTTCGGATACCCACTAGCTTGTGCAACATAGCTTACAAACATAAATAAGTACCTCCAGAATGATTTTTATAGTCATAAACAATTCCACATGCTGACAGATGATTAGTGATAAGTCAGAAGCTATTACCAATCAACATAAATGACAGCAAATTATAAAGAAAGTTAATTATTAAGTTGATCTGTAAGTCTCCATTGCTAAGAGTTACAAACTATTCAGAAAAAACTGTTCAGTACACGTAGATTTTCAACAGTTCTTCGCCTCTTTTCAGTAAGAGAACTATTTTCAAAATTGAGATAATACTATTCACCGCAAATTAATAAAAACTCTGTGCTTAATTAATAGCTTTCGATTTCTGGAACTTTTGGTAAGAAGTCCTAATTGATGAAATAATAAATTTAAACAAACTTGACTACTCATTCTAGATAAAACTTTCAGTATACAACATCCATACAAATGAATTCAAACAAATAGGATGTGTTTTTTAAATTTTGTAATTGAGTTAACAAACCAATAAAATGATTCCATTTATTCTTTGACCTAGTTTACTGACTACAAAACAAACATAGAGATATACAAACAGAATGCTATAAACCTAGATATGAGAATCTGTGTCCACATGTGCATTTTTTGATAATTTCTTTTCATGCTAGGCCATAAGTGATATTTTTGGTGATAATTCTAGCCCAGTAGGGCTAAACAATCGATCTAGACAAGTATAGGTCATTTTTTATAAATAAAGTTTAAAATATCCCTTTTTAAGAAATTGTCAATTCTTTTTGTCCACACAAAAATCATAAGATTTATGCTATACTCAGATAGAAATCACAAAATGTTTAGGTCTAAATCCAGATACTTAGTTCCGTACTGAATTGAATCTTAAAAACATGAAAGTGATAAACAAACAGAACAATAATTTATCAAGGTTTGACTTGATAATTTCAAATAAGTTGAGCATTCTTCGGAGGAGGGGCTTACACTGAGTCACGAAACATCAGAAAATCTATATTTATACTCATTTGAATATAAAAAATATATTACATTTTATTTAGAACACAAATTTATTGCTAAAAATGCGTTTTACAATTGTCATTCGATAAAAAACGAACACAAACTTAATGAATATGACGGATGCAATAATGAAAACATCGTTGCTGTCTGTGAGATTTGAATCTACAATAAGGTTAGAGTCATAAACATGGAGCTGTTATTTATTTTATTTGAACACATAAATACTGGTACAAGAGGGCACCAAATAGATATGCGCCACATAAATCATTCGATTTGTGTGAGGTCTGGGATACTACCCGGGTGCCCAAACCGAAGCAGGTGGTTTTCCTAGGGGGCCACACACGAAGCCTTCACCCTGAAGGTCTGATCCATAAGGCAGTGGAGCATCGTAAGGAAATGCAGTCCCGTGACCAGTAATTGGTTCATACGCCATCTGTTCCTTCAGGGGGCGCCACTGGTTTGGAATCAGGGTACTCCGACCACCTAGGTGGACTCTCCGTGTCCACGAACCCGGTTGAAGCACCGGGCATTCGCTTTTCGTCCTCTTAGTTCCGCAAACAACATACCCACCGCTCTCGGATGTACCAGGACATTTGGGGGCGGAGCTATTATTAGGGTCGTCGCTAACTTGTCATAAAGGGGTGTGAAAATAGCCCACTTAGTGGCAAACAACACAGTATTTTATCTTACATTAAGTATGACTGAATAGTAAATTAAACACAACGAAATCCCCAACCAAACTATTTAGAACGTAGTGATTTTTCATCCAAAAGATCTTGATGCTTTTCCTCGAGAATTTACCTACATAAACATCATCAAGACACTATTAGTGTGACGGTTGCTACGACTACTCTGATTTGTCAATCGTAATGGAACTGGGCTTCAGTCCGAGCGTTAGCAAACGCAAGTCAAGTGAATTAATCACTATATGACTGATTTACTGAAATAACCGCGGAATAACGTAGCGTTCGAATCAACATTCAAAATCACCGAAATCCAATCATGCCGTTTACACGTAAAACACCACAATACCCACTAACATACTATTAATATCTATTGCGTACAAGTTTAATTTGCACTATTTCAGTTTTTGTTATTCAAATCACTTAGAGGACCATCTCCGTTAATAGTTCTGTCCTATCTAAACGGTTTCTCAGTCAGTCATATCCAAAGTAGAACCTGGTACATGTGTTTAATCTGCCTTACCCTATTAGCACAGCGAGAAACTGTTAGAACCAATCACAGTGGTAACGGTAGTAACATTATTAGTGATAGCAGATAAGATTAGGTAACGAAGATTCAGTTTGAGGAAAGATTAGTGGGACGAAAGAAATCTGCATAGTTATTTAGAAACTTCAGATCTAAAAGTGAACATGTTTGTGCCAATGTGAACGACTTTGACCCTTCATTCAGTCTCTAGCCATCGGTCACGATGATCGCGTGGACCCTAAACACCAAGATGTCTCAGTTCAGTTGTGAACGTATTCATGAACCGATATTACGTCCTGGTTTGGTTATCATTAGCTTTTTTCAACCTACTCCTACACCGAAAAACTTTGCCCATCGTGATAGGTGGATTGATATGATGGATATCCCAAGAATTTCAGTCGAAAAATTCAACCGATTCATCAATCATTTCATATTACCTAGTACCCTGAGACTAAACTCAGAACAGGTAACTCGATGGTCCGAAAGAACAAATGAAGGACCACTAATAACCTACGAACAGAATGGAGCGAACTGGTCCACGTTATACTTGTTCTTCAGTTGGCAGACGGACATCTCGCCGACAACACAAGTGACACCTTGACAACAAGAATCCGTCAGACACAAACCCCCAAGAACTAAAAATAATTCCAAGATGGGCGAAGCGCCCAAAATGTCCTTATCACTAGATCCAGAAGCGATGTATATCAGCAATGAAGCATTATTTTGTATTAAGTGCGAGATGATTCCATACCAAACATGCTTGAATTGTTGCTGAAGATGGTCACAAGTTTGCATTTTGTCAGTATCTTCATCAACCAAAAGTATATAATCCAAGAAGTCAAAGTCAATAAGCGAAAAGTTGAACGTCATTTTTAGGACAATATGTATGACAAAATCAAGAAAAGATGGGGAAAGTGGACAACTCTGATGAAAATCACTCAATATTTTCAAATTCTGATAACAGTTTGTCATGATTTCCCATTCGAACACTAGTGTTAAAATAGAGTCTGGACACGACTAACCTAATTCTTCAGTACGCCATTCAGTAACACACACTTCCACAGAATCTCTCAATCAACAAAGATGAATGCTGTCTTCAGAACGAGAGAAACAACTATAATTAAAAGTCGGTAGACATATCTGTGTTCCAGAATCTGACAGGAAACAGTGAACAGTCGGTCTATTCAGGCAAACATTTGACACAATTGTAGTCTAGCTAGTTCCTCAGTGGTTATCGTAACAGGAATTGTGTCATTCCTAATACACTGGAATGATCTGTGATCGAGACCAGTCTGGTGAGATTACGTTCACTTTCCATATTCTTGCTAATATTACAGTCAATGTATCAGGTGAAATTGGACCAATATCGTTGAATATTTGTGGGGTAAACGTATCAGGATCTGTTGTTGTCGATCACTTCAGATTATCTATGGCTTTCTCAACTTCAAGATTCAGTAATTTATGTTTACATTCCAATAAGGTTGTTTGGTAAATGTAGGAAACTAAAGAGCAGATAAACTGTTATTTGAAGTGTTACGGCCATCATTTTCAGCGAACGATTCTTCCAGCGGTATATTCGTATGACTGCATTCAAATTTACTTTTTTAAGCACACACATTGCTAGGTGTGATCAGAAAGAATATAAAGTACGAGAGTATGAAAGTGAATATTGATCTTCATTTATGAGTTTTCTCATTTAATTTAGGTATATTTAACCCATAGTTTTCTTTATTTTCAGACACCAAACTAACTCATCAACCGGGTTCAACCCAGAGTAAAGCCTCAATAGCCTTTAAGTTTACAAACATAATCATTTACTAGTATTTTTATAACTGCAAGCCTAATTTTCAACCCAAGTGATTTTGCATCATCTTGAAATTTTCTATTTTTACTACATTTCACAGAAAGAACAAAGTGTTTTTATGTGGTGACTACTCATGAATAAAACTGCACTTGAATTACACGAAATAGATGGCGATTTTTCTTTTAAAATGGAATTAAAAGAATGATGTGAATTATTCTGTTAAACTTATGCTGAAACTAATCAGTTACCTAAAATACGGTTCACTATTTGAAAATGATTTAGCAGCCATTTTATACAGTCATGATCGTACAAATATAGCTAGATAGCAAAAATAATCTAAACAGATACCGAGTTAAAACATTATATTAGAGGGTTTTATTAAAGTACATAGATGCAAAGAAAAGGAAAAAATGGGTTCAGGCAATTGGAAACAAGAAGCCTAATTATTTGTTTTCCTAAAACTTAAAAAAGAGAAAAATAGAAGAAATAAAACCAAACAAAATGGAGGACAATAAACTTATGATTTACAAAGTAATCTATTACATAGATGAATGGATAAAATCCAACAAATAACTTACAAAGGTTTTATACTTCAACCTTTATAAATAGATTGAAGTCTATTACTACTTGTTGTACTACAATTATAAATAAGAAAAGCAAAAAGCAATGATGTGATCTTTTGCACATAGACAACCTAAAACAGACCAGTCAGCTGTAGGCAAGTTTTTTTTTTTAAAAAAAGGCAAAAATAACAATTGTACACATGATGTAGGTACATAGTAAAAAAGTCATATTAAACTTACCTGATAGAAGGCGCATAAATGATATTTATAAACAATGTTGTACAATATAGAGAGAATTATAGTTTAAAACATTCTGAGGTCTAAATGTTAGGTAAGTGGCAATGGATACGTACAAAAATTTTAAACAAATATTAAAAGTCACCTGATGTGTATTAAATTGTTAAAACAATAACCATGACTATTGTATTCAGAATTTATTAGTAGACATTACAAAGTAAGAAAAAAGAACTGGATAAAAAGCAATCAGTTACAGTGCATCAACTAAAAAATATGCAGTAAACTACGGACAAAGGATTTAAAAGTAAACAGGAAATAGATTAGTTAAAATAAACGTTTGAAATCTTGAAGTAAAAAAGGAGAAATATCTTAGTCCCAGCAACTTATACACGTTTGGTTGCTGCTGGTCTCACTGAGTTGCATCCAGATGGTTGTGGAAAATAAGAAAAGAAATGTCGGGTTGGTTTTAAGTCATTAAGAGGCATAGCCTGGAGAACTTCATCCAGCAACTGTAGAGGTCTGAAAAAAAGTGGAAACAACACAAAAAACGGAAGAGACCATAAGTAGTTGACAACTATTAGTGATATAAAGTAAAACAGAATTTTCAAGGTAGGTTTACATAGATTTATGGTTTTTATGATATTTTGGTGGTATCTCTGAAATTCACAACAAAAATCTAATTCTTTCCAGCTTTAGAGGTATTATATTTTACCTAACTACAGTGCATCCACTTAGAATTCTACAAATCTGTGTAGTTTCATTCATCATAATTAACAAGACAGTGAACAGTAAAAAGACCAAAGGTTAAAAAATCCTTCAAAAAGTGAGAAATATTTTCAGTGTATACTAAGCAAACTCTACAATTTCAAACCGTCCATTTCAGTTCTCTAAACTAATTTTCAAAATAACATGGGACCATGAATGCAGTAAGTTATAAGATGGTAGTAATTTGTTCACGCCTATACGGTACTGGTTTATTATTGTAGGAAAATAAATTTTAAAGTCATACCTGTGCAACTGTATTTCAATCCAGCAAGGTGTTTCTTTGATGCTACGTCTAGGATAATCTGGTCCCCATCCTTTAACGAAACTCAACCGAAGCATACAAAGACGTCTAAGATCATCCACCCCGACCCCAGCAGTAGCCATAATAGATGCTCCTGTACCTAGTGTACCAGGTAAAGATCCTGGAGCAGATTGGTTGGAACCTAGAGGTAGGGCACCAGGTATCTGAGACAATAAATCGCTTGTCGTAGGTGACCCAACAACAGCCGCAGCTTGTCGGACAGCAGCAGCGTGAGAAGACTGAGCAAGGGATTTCATTTCTTCATGACACTGTCTTATATCGAAAACCTAGTATTAGAAGAAAATGAAAACTACACAAGCTAGTATGATCATAGGAAATAAAAATCGAGTAAATATTATATGAAAAATAAGTTACAATGAACTTATAATACCGGAACAATTTTACAACCACTTTTAGATTTAGCTAATATCAGATAAAAAAATACTCGTTATAAGAAAAAAGTAAATGAATAATATAATTTTCCAAAAAGATTAACTTAAGCAATTACTGCTGTCCTGAAGTTTTAGTGAAGTTGCAACCAAAGAATTCCACTCATAAATACAACCAAGTGCGTATCGCTAAAAAGAAGCGCGCGTTTGATATTGTAGCCAGTAAACATTACTCAGAGGAAATTTTATTAAATTAGGATGAGAACCAGTTGATATAATAAATTCCACATATCGCACCATTTAAAACTGACATCATACCTTGATATAAGCGCCAGGATATATTTTATGGACAGCGTCACCAGGTGCACGGCCAGCCTCTCTATCCAAATAATAGCTTTGTACGAATACAGAGAACTCTGAAAGACAGCGAATCCAAACATCACCTTCTCCAACGTTATCTAGTTCTACACCTTTGCCAATATAAAGTCTCGACTTTTCGGATTGCTCCGACCTGTTTAAAATAATACCCAGTTTTATTCATTTAGTAGCACACCAAAGATTAACCTATCAAAACACAAGATATCCGCCAAAATAACAGTCAAGAACCGCTTTGTTAAACATCGAAAATTCACTTCTATTGCTTATGTGAGTATTACCGAATATTCCGTACAATCTAGTCAGTAACGTAAGGTATTGTTTACGAAGATATTTACAAAAATGTGTTCAGAACCAGCAACTAGTGTTAAAAATTAATTCCGATGATAATACATTGGGGCGATTTGTAAAACTTTAGGATGACTTAAATCATAAGCACTGATTGCTATATTTTGGTAGTCACTTTCACAAACCACTCGTACCTAGTTAATAGTTTTAAAGTAAGCCACCTTAAATGGTGTCTTGCAAGATGAATGTACTGCTTCACCTTACGAAAAACTTGATATAAATAAATATCCAAACAAGTCAGGATTTTGGTGTGCCGTGAATACAAAAACTGAAAGATGAGATTTTACCCATCTAAGTCACAAGATTACTTTAATTGATAATCAACTTTAAAATAACCAATAAACTTGACTACTCATTTATTAAAAATAAACTATCAAATAAAAGCTACAAAAAAGTATGAAATTAATGTTTAAAGAGAGGAATAATTTGTTCGATACTCTTAATGTTGAAAGCTGCTTTTGACAGCACAAGATAAAATAAGAAAAGTGGGTTACAAAAGACAGAAAACAAAGGGAATATACGTACATAAGTTGAAATAAAGACATGGGACGATAAACTTTACATTATGGAGTGAAGTGACGACAAGGTCATTACACCTACAGAAATCATCCCAGTAATGTGATATTAATATTAGAGTGATCTGGAGCCAAGTATCAGTAGTGTAACTAAGTAACCAAGTGTAGACCAATATACCTGACCCTGAACTACACTTGTGTAAGATCGAATAATACTACGAAGTTACCCGAATTGAAAAACAAGATTTCGACTGAAGATCTAATGTATGAAACACGAATAGTATCAACATTCGGAAATAACTCCGAGCTATTTGTCAAGGACAGGGCGGAACAACATGGATATTTCGGTTAGTACACTTTTCCTTCAGTTTTTACTAAGAATTTTCGAAATACTACTAATAAAATAGTGGAAACAGGTCGATTAGACAATAAAAATGTGTGGAATAATTTTTTTCTGATGCTTTATTGTACCAAGCGTTTTTGTCACTATTGAACAAACGTTTATGTCAAACTTAAAATGAGAAATGTTTCGCCAGATCATTGTAATGTGAAATAATTTTATCAATACCTTTGTTATCCAAAGCGTGAGAGATTAGTCCCTGACATCTGCAGCTCCAAAATCTGCTTCAAATTACATCGAACTAACTTTACTTCTGAACGAAACATACATGTTGCTGGCAGATTTTCCAGAGATATTAGGTCTCCACCATTTTAAGGTATGCAGGAATAAGTGGATTCCTGTAATCCATGGTCAGTCATAATTAACGTAGGAGTCAAGCACAAATGTACATTGGGTTGAGTTATGTGGAGAACAGTTAAGCAACTAGGTAATTATCATATATAAACTCCAATCGATTCCTCAGTTGAGACAGTGACAGGAACACAAAGTTTCAAAATTACAAAAACGCTACTATTATTATTATTATTATTATTTCAACACATAAATATCGGTACAAGAGGGCACCAAATATATATGCGCCACACCATATCTGTGTGTGTGGGCTGTGATACTGCCCAAGTGCCCAGATCGAAGCAGGTGGTTTTCTTAGGGGGCCACTACCCAAGCCTTTGACCTAAAGGTCTGATCCACAAGGCAGTGGAACATCGTGAAGAGATGCATACCCATGGTAGCCGGTGACCAGCGATTGGTTCATACGCCATTTGTTCCTTCAGGATACTGGAGCCCATGTGCACCATTGGTTTGGGATCCGGTTAAAGTGCCGGACATTCGCTTTTCGTCCTCTCATTTTCGTAAACAACACCCCCGCCACGAGAAGGCAATGAGTAGGACTTCCCTGGCAGAGGCTGTATACGCGTGGCCGTGTGAGAGCATTTCGAGAGGGAGGGCGAACCCACCCCACTCTCGGCCATACCAGGGCATTTGGGGGTAAACGTTACTATATCCCATTGCGATTACAACCACGATAGTGTAATGAACTTCAGTTAAAAAACCGGTGGTATAAGGAAATGATTAATCAATATTTCCATGAGTTACATCTGCTGATAAGTTTGCAACAATATGGAATCACAATCAGATATGTATGAAACAGTATTTTAGTGATCAAAATAACCAACTTTAAAACCTTTGCTTGGAATAACCGAATATGATCATTAGTAACCACTTGTGGAAAATTGCTCTTATTTCAGTGCATGAACTTTTACAAGATAATTTAGTTGCACTGAAATATTAGAGCTGTTAAATATTAGCCTTGGAAAGTAAACAAAAAAGAATCCGATTAAGTCCTCTAATGACTAAGTGAACTAGTTGTTCAACGAAAGTGAGGAACTGAACTTACCGGTGTACATTTGATAGTTGTCCGAGACAAAAACGATTTGGACTAGAAGGATCCGTGTAACCGTCAACGGTGACACGTGAATACTGGCTTGGAACTTTAAACAATTCACCGACCTGTTGGTCCAGTTCAAAGTAAGCAATGTTGCACCAGTATTCAGGAGGACGTTGTGTAGTTAGGACTGGCAACGGCTGCAAATATAGAAAACGAACTAAGTCTCTGTAGTATGTAAACGATGAAACTAAATACAACTTAGTAGCACTACATAACACAATTCTTACTGATTTTACACAAAATTAATTTCTGTAATACGTCAATAGAATAACAGAGATAAATAAATGAATACCTGAAAAGCATGATCTGACTGTTCTCAATCAGTTGAAATTTATAACATTCATAATATCATTAAATTGCCCTCAAATGCCCTGATACGGCTGAGAGCGGAAAGAGTCCTCTCTCCCTCACCAAATGCTGCCACGTGCATACAATCACTGCTAGGGAATCCCTACTCGCTGGTGGCAGTGTTATTTACGGAATCGAGAGAACCAAAAGCGAATGTTCAGCGCTTTAACCGGGTTGGTGGACACGGAGTCTACCTAAGGGAGTTGGAAAATTCTGATTTAAAACCAATGGTGCACATGGACTCTAGTATCCTGAAGGAACAAATGGCGTGTGCACCAATCGTTAGTCACCGGCTACTATGGGACTGTATCTCCTTACGTTGCTCCACTGCCTTATGGATCAGACCTTTAGGTTGAAGACTTCGTGTGTGGCCCCCTAAGAAAACCACATGCTTCGGTTTGGGCGCCCGAGCAGTATCCCAGCTCTCACACAAATCGAATGATTTATGTGGCGCATATCTATTTGGTGCCTCCTTGTACCAATGGTTATGTGTTTAAATAAATAATTTTTTTAGTATCATTAAATTAAATAGTCCTATAATCAACATCTAAACGATGAGTCGTTACACCAGAAGTTTCATAGTTAACGGAAATTCTGAAACTGACTAATTACTATGAAAATTTGATCAGTTACAAAAACTTTAGATCAGGATTACTATCGTAATTATTTTGTCACAAAACAGTCCACAGATGTACTTTTCCGTCGATCGGTTTCGATAATACTAGAACAAGTTGTACATAAGCAACTACCAACTGGTCTTATTTATAAGTAGCTTCTCCATAAATTAATTTTAAATTAAGGCCTTAACTGGTATTACTCAATTCTTTGCTATTTAGAAGCTAAGAATCTAGAAGCAGCAAGCTCAATATTTTAGCAGCATATCCTGGCCTGAACAAGTGAGACCAAATAACTATGAAATATTAGGAGTAGACTGTCAGTACCACCTGCAAAGTATAGTCCCCAAAAGTAATTATAACCGTAAGAAACACAACTCTAGCTCACTGCTAAGAACATTATAACTACTCCAAACACCCCCATACTTTAAAAAAACGAATAAAAGCTTACTTGGAGTAGAGATCCAGAAGGAGTGAATGGTGGGGCAGGGGGACCCCTACGATTGCCCCACCCACCACCACCAGCTCCAGCCGCACCACCTACTCCACTACATGGTGCACCGCTGCCAAAACCAGATCCTCCAGTACTACAACCACCCGCAGTTCCTGAAGAGCCACCAGGACGTTTATTAGAGCTATTATTTACAGCACCATTAGTGTTGCCTGATAGACAAACTGGAGTCGCGTTTGAGGAATATGTTGTTGGAACGAAACTACTTGTTAAAAGGCTGTTGGTTTGAACTGGCGTAAAAATAATAGGCGGATCGATCGTACACTTAAAAACATCCATCGTTCTAATCGTAGGCAAATTCACAGGGATCACTTTCGAATATCCTGTTACACACGTGTTTTCCGATTCTATGGAACTGTCTTTCGAGAAGTTAGTAGCAGAATGAATAAATGTATTTGGATGGTTTTGGTTAGCGATACCTGACCAGGCCATAGTGCTCTGTCCTCTATCCAAATGTGGAGCTGGGTTAACTCTCGATATCGAAATGCTTGATGAGAGTGCTGGAGACGAATCGATTTGTGAGTTGGATAATAAAGGAGTCTGTTCCAAATCACACTCTTGATTTTTTGAGCAACCTGAAAAGAAAGGTAGCTTTATCACTAAACAGGGCTTTATTAACAACGAAGTAGTCTTATAAAAAGCACGAAATCTGAACTGTTCTTATTGAAGAAAAATATGAGTATAAGATGTCAAAATATTTGATTTACAATCTTGAAGTCTCCCGTCAAACGACATAAGACTGATTGATAGAACACAGGCCATTGATTTCAAGCAATGGGAAATTCTTACTGGGTCATAAATTCAGAAGCCGGTAGACGAATATATAAAATATTGGACAAGTAGGAACAATAATGCACACAAAAATTGTTTCCAGGAAAATAAAAATTTCCTTACTTATCTTTGAAGAAGATCTACACGTAAACCAATCTTTAATTAAGATATTTTAGAAGAATCAGACTGTTTTGTGCTTGAAGATCAAAACAATCCAGCCACGCAAAGGTACAGATGAACTTACCAAGATATTTTCTGATCGCTTTGTAATCCAAGAAAACTCGTCACTAGAGGACGATGAAGCTAGAGTTAGGAGAAAGCGAATGATCAAATAATACTATACTCGGTTTTAAATCGGCCGAGTTTATTTGAATCGAGGGACAATGTGGTAATTGAATCCTACGGTTTGAAATAACTTTGACCTGTTTTCAAAGATAACTATTTTTAACAATGGATTGAGTGGTATCACAAATCACTATACCTCAAACTAATTGACTTTTAGGCTTCACCAGAACTAGTGACATTATTATTGATAATAAACAGTATGTACAACAGATATCTAAAGAAACTATTATAGTTATATGGCATTTGACAATCTTTAAAATTGAGTAGATTGTGATTTGGTAAATGAACGAAGTCGTCAGGCATTAAAAGTGAATAAATAGAACCCGGATAGACAGATATGATGCAATGATGTGACCTAGCCAAGTGACTGCTGCTTACAAAACTGGAATGCGGATTTAAAGCTACGAAAGGACTGAATATCAAAGACAAGACCACCGAAGAATAGATTTTCTAATCTAATGAAATTACATGCTTATATGCAAGTTATTGACAGGAAAACGACGATTAAAGGATATCAGCTTTTTAAGTTATTCATCTGCCAAAAACCTGACTACTGGATTTAACTCCTGCTCATAACACTAATCAAAAGCGATTTTAGCCTTAAACCATTTCATATATTCCAAGATTTTGGTATTATATACAAATATTAACAAGCAAATAGCACTACCTGTTTGAGATATGTGTTCACCAAGAAGATCTCGAACAGTAAGACGAGGATGAGTGGATAAGACGGAGGAATTACAATTTTTCCCTTCATTAATAGGATCTCCTGGCAAACATGATCCCATATCACCTATTTGAGCTCCCTTGAATCCAGAAACTAGGGAGTCCGGACAGTTGGATTCACTTTCTGTGTCGCTACACATGTCTGAAAATAAAGAATAATTACAATATAGTGCGATTAACGAAAATCCCGAGACTAGAAAGAGGGTTTTATTTTAAAGATTTCTGTAAAAGAAAATGTTTGTTTCATGACTGTAGTTATTTTACACTGACTTACAGTGTAGAAAATGATTAAAACTGAGGCTTTACTCTTTGGATGGATAAGAACTGCCTTGTATTAAAGGTGGTATCAGACCACAGTTGGAGGTATTGCGAGCATACACTCATTCATCTTTCTTTAAATCTCGAACTGAATATTTATCTTTTTCACTTCATCTTTTCAAACCATATTTTTAATGTTTAGTTAGTTTAATTCTGAATGCCATTAAATAACTCGAACCCTGCCATTAATCTTGTTAATTTTATCATATCGTGATGTGGTATGGTAACTTTGGCTAATCCACATTTGTACCACGTGGATTATGATCGACTAAATTGTATTTACATCCCCTTGAACCTCATTTAATCAGAAGAACCAGTCGGGGTCCCTTGACGAAACGTAAGAAATATGGCTTACAGCCGAAAATGTAATTGTTGCAATCCCTTTTTACACCCAAAAAGAGGTTTAGTATGATCCATTTTGATTATTCTTCCTTGATCCTCGTTTGCGAAGGTATTTAGGAAGGAAGGAAAATTCCAATTGACACTTAACTGAAGATCCGAGAGATGAAAGTATAACATTAATTCTTCCAGATACAGAATGCCTTTTCCCAATAAATATGAGGATGGTGTATATGCGTTAACCAAAATGAAATGACAAACTACCAAATTGTAGTTGATCAGGATATCCCAATGTACTGACTATCCTAAAGTAAAACTGTGTCTATTTCGTTTAGTGTCTACCGTAAATATTAACGACAATTGAAGTACTACTAAAGATAAATATCCACTTCTGATATTTTAAGCACCCATCTACCTTTCGCTTATTACATTGGGTACATTTATGGGACATTCCGCATTTTACATGCAAAGCCCATTAGCAATATCAGCATATTTGAGTTTGAAATTATATTCCATAATAACATGATACTCTAAAAAATCCGCATATTTCAGTGATCGAGATTCCTGAAGCAAGTACCGAAATAACTAAATCATAGCAGGACGAAATAATCGAGATTTCTAACGTTGCCGTTATAATAAACAGCCTACATAATCTGAAGAGATATGCCAGTTAAACAGTAATGACAATTACAGAAAGTGTTTTTGTGATGATCACTGAGAAATTGCTTTGACTATCAAGAGTTAAATTATTGGTCTCAATAATCCTCACAGCTTTATCTCAGATGAACCAAAGTTGGCAAAAAAAACACTACATCGTTGCCCCTCACTAACGATACAAATCCTTCAGAACACATCCAACTTCAGTCACCGTTTATTTGAGTTAATCAACTGGTGTGTAACAACATATTTCCAACAGAACAATAGAATATACAAACATAAAGGACAATAACAAGATTACGGAACCAATTGCAGGAGCAGTAAAGCGGATGCCGAAAACTTTAGGTGTCAAAATCAGGTCGAATAATCAAATGCGCTACATTTTTCGTAATCGTAAAGGACCGGCTGGGAAGCACTTACAATTTGATCAAATCATCGATGACATATGATATACATCAGAAACGAAACCAGGCAACAAACTACCATTCTTCGACGTGTTGATCACCATAACTAATGAGAAAAAATCTAAGGCTCGTGTACATCGGAAACTAAACCACGCTAACCAAACTGCCAATTATGACAGAAACAACTAGAGCTGTATAAAAAGCCTGTTCCATAGTAAAACATGCTAATGTGCCGCCACTACATGAAGAAATCAACAGACATGCCTTATGGGCGAATATTGGAGAAATGGCTACATATAGAACCTTGTCAAATAATGACCAAACCCAACATAAAATCAGCAAACAGACAATTCTAAGAAATAATACAAGGTAGCCGTGCTCCCAGCATCTACGTGAACACCTATGAGCTATCGAATGCTATATATTTTTGCTTATATTCATGCGTGTGTGTTAAGTTATAAACTAGGAGAACACAGATTTCGCAGACCTCAAAACCCGGGAATTTTTAAAAACATCAACCGGTATATACCGAAACCGACCCAACCTACCAACCAAATAGGAAAAGAATACATACAAAACCACAGATCAGACTAGCAAAGACAATCAAAACAAGGATGCAAATAAAAACATAATTATGATCAAAACGCGGGTCAACAGGACAAGCTGTTGTTCAAGTGTTGGGAAATCCTAATCGTTTACCTCTTTCAATGTGAACTGGCACCGTCTATGAGGACAGTGAAAGCTTAACTAAACTAATATAATATCTAAAATACTAGCCTCGATAATTATCAGACGCCTAACTAAGACTCGTGAACTGCAAACACGAGAAAACCAAGCTGGCTTCAGACCTGGTCGTGGCTGCATCAACCACATATTCACCATTCGTCAGATTCTAGAACACAGGCATACATATCGGCGTCCGACAATGGTGGTCTTTCTCGACTTAAAAGCAGCATTTGGTTCTGTAGATCGCGAGATTCTGTGGCAGTGTCTGTCATTGAAAGGCGTACCCCATAAGTACATAAACCTTGTGAAGGCTCTTTACTCGAACACTACTAGTCGAATCAGAGCTTATGGCGAACTGTCATCTACTTTTGCAACCTCAAGTGGTGTCCGTCAAGGCTGTCCACTTTCTCCATTTTTGTTTAACTTCATCATAGATCTACTGATGGAAATAACTTTCTCGTCGACTGAGTTTGTGGGTATTGATCTCCATCCAGGAGGTCCACTTATCGACTTAGAATACGCGAATGACATAGTCCTGTTTGGTGAGGACGCTGACAAAATGCAGAGTCTTTTGGTAGCACTGAGCAACAATGCCAGAATGTTTGGAATGCGCTTCTCTCCCTCTAAATTCAAGTTGTTGCTTCAGGACTGACCTGCGTCAACACCTGAACTAAGGATAGGGAGTGAAGTGGTCGAACGCGTCGACAACTTCACTTATTTTGGAAGTCTGATCAGCCCTAATGGGCCGGTATCAGACGAAATCTCAGCACGGATTCGAAAAGCTCGTTTAGCTTTTGCCAACTTGCGTCACCTATGGCGAAGGCGAGATATCCGTCTATCAATAAAAGGACGAGTATACTGCGCAGCAGTCCGTTCTGTTTTACTTTACGGCAGCGAAACATGGCCATTAAGAGTAGAAGACAACTGTAAGCTACTAGTATTTGACCACAGATGCCTTAGAAATATTGCTGGCGTCTGTTGGGATCACCGGGTAAGTAATAGTGAGGTTAGACGCAGGGTATCAGGAAATGATGGTAAATCAGTTGAGGTTATGAACCTTCATCGACTGAGATGGTTGGGTCACGTGTTACGTATGCCTGAATACCGATTACCACGACGTGCAATGCTATCCGGTATTGGAGATGGTTGGAAGAAAGTTAAGGGCGGCCAAACCAAAACGTGGCATCAGTGCTTGAAGTCACTAACTTCTAGTCTGAGCCATGTTGGTAGATGCAGACTACTTGGTTGGGGTCCGCGTGACTATCGTAACCAATGGTTGGAGACTCTTGGTGACATGGCTCAGAATCGATCACAATGGCGTCGGTGTATACACTCCCTGTCTTCCCTTAAACTAAGAGATTAAAATCGCTTGATACCTTTCTTTCTACGAACCAATTCTTTCTTCTTGTACTATATCTCTATATGCAATCTTTCTCTTATATATTACCACCTTTGACCTAACCACTGCAATGAATCCGGTGTTCACCTCGTTGTGCTGATGCGGTATGGTAACCTGGACCGATGCACATATGTGCCTGGTCCTACGTTGTAGCTGACTGATTGACTAACTAAACCATCCAGCTCGAAGGATACACCACCTCTGAAACTATAGAACGATTCGCTAAAGCTAGTAAACAACTGATTCACCAAAACCACTGCGAAAGCTCACTTGGCAATCAATCAATTATTCACCTTGTCAGACTGTAGAACATAAACATACCTACATACGCCCGACAATAGCGGTATTTCCTAAAACGAAAGCAGCATTTAACTTTGTTGACCTAGAAGTTGTGACAGTCTGTCATTTGACAAGGTGTATCGAAGATGTACATAGATTGCAGAAACCTCTCTAATTGAACACCACTGGTCAAGTCAAAGCATATGACGAGCTACCCCACCTTGTTATATACATAATTTCACAGGGACGAAAACTGATTTTTCAGATTTCCTTATCGACTAATGGTAGATACAATTATGTTTAAACTGTTACAAGACATTTGGTCGGTTTGAGAATGGTTGATGACCGTTAACACCAGAGCGAATAAATAAGAAACAAAAACGCGTTGACTATCTTACTAATCTTAGACGTAAAACGTGGACTATGGAAATAAATGATGTCTGTAAGTCATCATTATTTGATAATAGATACCCAAAGTCTTTGCGTAAGCTGAAGTCAATGAATGAACAACTAACATTAGGTAGTGTTGGGCATACATGGAAAGCTTAATATCAAGATATTCACTCTCCACCGATCGAGGTGAATGGGATGTTGTGTTTAAAATTCCACCGACATTGACGCTCGATGGCGGGTGGCGAAGTAGGTTGTATGTTAAGGGGTTAAACTAAAACGAGGCATTGATCTACAAAGCTCTTGAGTGTTGATTTGCATTATATTGGTAGGTATAGATTACCTAGTTGTAATTCATGAAATTATAATGGCCATTCATTGGAGACTGGGTGTATTTTACTCGGAGAACTCGCTTTACTCAAAACATATCTTTTCAAAGTGTTTGGTGTCATTTTCAATTATGTTAATACTAATTTTACCAGTATGGTATTTATCATGACACATTAGCTGACAGCTTCAACTGATGCACGTGTAAGGTTGAGCTACCCGTAACTGGCTAGTTACACGGACAGTTTTGGCTGTATAGTTACACTAGTCTCATGTTGGATACAAAGTCAGTACTAAATCTAAGATCTCTGATCATCTAATACATCCCTAATTTATTATTACTACACTAGAGAGACTGCTGCATGGTTGACAGACAAACTACCAGAGCAAACCCTGATTAAATTCTGTGTCTTGAAAACATGGATTGCATAAGACACTTGTGAATAAATAACAAGGATTACATATAAAAAAATTGTATCGGTCAGAAATTACAAAGATTTACCTCCTTTTTCTGGTGTAGGACTAAGGCTCAGAGCAGCCAAGTCAACAGGAGAAACAACTCTTTCATAGTGGTAAGGATTAATACACACGCAATCTTGTTTCAGTTCAAATCCAAATAAACAATGTTTAGAGTGTCTTAACTCATTTCGATGCAAATCAGGCCAGCGCCATATTCGTGAATAAATAATGTGGGGAAGACATTTCCGCCCAGCAATCTGAACAACAGCATAGTGTAATAACAAGCTTCACAATACCTGCATACGTCCGTCCAAAGTTCTTTGTATTGTGACACACTTACTTGGTTGGCTGCCACTCGTTGTTATGGCAGTTACCAAGGATTCCAAGTCTTCTTGCCTTTCTTTCAATTTCTTCACAAGACTCTCAATAGCGCGTCTTGCAAACTCTTCAGATTCTCCACTCTGCCGATGACACATAAGGCTATGAACTATAACTGTCACTAAATCGGGAGAAGCAGAATCTAACTGCGAGCTATTGAATGACATGGCGCATTGCCCAGCCCTTAAATCGAGCTGATATGGATTCGGCTTTAAAAAAAGATACGAAAGATATAGGTAAACATACAAAACAACGAACACTAGTAGGAAAATTTGACAGAAAACCTACAAGCACCAACATGAAGTCAATCTCATCGAAGTTATGTCGCCTAAGAACCCTCGCGCGCCTTGCGTATTTTTATTGAAAAGTATAAACAACAGCAGGCCACCATTCTTAACAAAAAATGCAATTTATTATAAATGATAAACGGAATAGCAATTCCGCTATTTAAAAAGGAAGGTTTCATTTGTCCTCTGAGTATATTTTTTAGTATTGATCATTTCGTAATTATTGTTTTTGCTTTGATTGAATTTGATTCAGGTAAAGTTATCTTCAAGAGTCTTGCTTCTTCTAGAGAAGTTATTCACCTGTACCTCTTGAGTACAGATACGAAAAAGGCACTGGATTTTTCCTCGTCGAGTATATCTATTAGTATTGTTTGTAGTCACATGTGTTGAGGTCATTTTGTAACCCACTTTGAAGGTTTTCTGTGTGAAAATCCCTCCATGTACACACTTGTAATTTATTCCTATTGATTCCTTCGGCTGTACATTTTGTTAGCCTTTTTGATTCCATTTGAAGTGATTATATTTGTGTTTTTTATAGTTTTTATTTTTCACTGAGCTTCCATGTTTCTTCCTGAACTTAATTTTTGTTGTTTTAGTTGATACTTAGTCTTGACGGCAGCCACATTGGTTTGTTCTCCATTTGATTGTGGTGCTTATATTGATTGGAATTGCACATTTTTGATTGTAAATTGAAGCACTTTCCAGAATGGGAAACACTGTGTTATAAAGCAACCAAATGTTATCGTTTGAACGAATCTGTACGTGATCTATCCAGCAAGGAGAGAATAATACTTATTTGTGGAGCTTGGTAATTTTTTTGCATCTTTTATCAACCTCTTTATATATTGTAATGTGGATTTATGTACTGACTGAACAATTATTGACTGAATAACTGTACGGTAATATTTGTTTAGGTAATTATGTACATTTATATTTATAATGAAATCTAGAACCGTCATCTACCCAGTCACCTTGTTTGCGTTTCAAATGGGCAATAGCGCGTGTCTAACCTACCTAGACAGTTATTCTTCAGTCCAAACGTTAGCTTTGATTCTACAAAAGATATTTTATCTTTCGACCAATTTCCTCTGTTTGACGCAAGTAAAACATCGTGGTGACAGACCTACATGCTATTTCCCTGTCGATGATGGGATGCATTGTGACAACGGCAATAAGTGGTATTACATTGTGTGCACTGGACTCACATCGGCTGTATATAAAAGGTGCCGTAAGCCACTATCATGTTGGCTGTGCAAAGCATGCTGTTTTATAAAGACTCTGCTGATTCTCGAGGCAATTTAACTGTTGAATAAAGCTAGAAAGTTGCCTTCAGGTAAACAAGCAGCAGTAGATGTGCAGAATTCAGCTGTTGAGGAAACGGCGGGAGTTATCATGAGCCCAGCTTTTGATTTGAATAGGACCAACACGGTAGACTCCATTATGAAAGCGGATAACAAGCATAATGATATAGGCGTTTTTACAAGGAAAACGGAAAAGCAAGCTGAGAAGAAACAGATTGTAGGCTGCGCAAAAGTATGTGAATCTTTGCTTTCAGTTCCGGATTCGCATACCAACGCAAAACAGACTATGGGGAAGCCAAGTATGAGAGGTGTAGAGAATGTGATCACGAGGAAACATAAGGTGAATGATTTGCTTATAGTCACACCCAGAAAAAGAAGATTCCATAAATTAAAATTCCACGTGTTAAGACGGACTTCGCTTACAGGTCAATCATTTTTCATAAGTTAATAGCATCTTTCGAGAAGAAACCAAAGGCCGCATTAAGTCCCTAATAAAAAAGCCGCTCCCAGAAACAGTTTGAAGACTTAGCATCTGTAAAGCTTTATAGAAAAGGAAAAATGTGGTTTCTGAAAATACTCAGAAAAGCCTCCTCTTGAAAGTTACCTATGTTTCGGCTGAAGAAAGAAACCTAATACTCAAGCAAACTTTTTGGATCTGGAATATATCTCCGTGAGGATCTCAGCCTGGTCAATTGTATTAAGCGATGGTCGGTAAAATAGACAACTTTCAAAGAATCTCATAAACGAAAATAATGTAAGAACCCTCCATGTAGTCTAGATGAAGGCCTCATTATCCTTCTCATTAGCTTCTTTAATGGCTTTGGATGTGACCGACATTCCGGAAACTGCGTCTGCCAGTACTATGCGAACCTCAGCCTCACCATCTTCGGCAGCTACAAGCACCTCCTCTTCTTGTTTTGCATGGGAAATAATTATTCTTGAGAAGGTATATGCCCATCTCTGTTGACGGTTAGTTATATACATAGGGATACTCTTCATGGATTCAAGAATTGTCTGTAGTGGTTTATGGTCTATCAATAATGTGAACTGTCTGCCAAACAGCATCTTGTTGAACTTTCTTGCAGTGAATATAATAGAGAGGGCGTCTTTCTCTATCTGACTGTGGTTCCTTTCTGTCATAGTCAGCGATCGTGCTGCGTGGGTGATTAGCTTCTCAGACGCATAAGGGTAGGCATATGAAATTGCTGCTCCGCTTCCGTAGTTTGACGCATCTGTTGCGACTACAGTTGGAAGATCTGGATCATAGTGTTTAAGCAGAAGGTTCGATTATAAGAGCTGTTTTAGGTTTAGGAATGCTTCTTGGCATTTAACTGACCAGAACCATATGGTATCCTTTTTCAGTAACCCATTAAGAGGAGCACAGAGGCGGTGTAGGTCTGGAAGAAAGATGCCAAGATGACTAACCATTCCCAAGAAGAAATGTTGAGTCGATACATCAGTGGGGGATGCATCGACTTGATAGCCTCGACGTTTTCAGGATCAGGTTTTTTCCCGTTTTTATCGATTACGAATCTCAAATAGCGAACTTGCTCCACGTAAAAATGACATTGTTCAGCACGTAATCTGGACACATAATCTGCTATGCGTCTGAGGACCGTATCCACCTTATTCTCTAAGTCAGCATAGTCCGTATCCATGATTAGTATGCCATTTAGATAGGCCGCGGTACTAAGAATACCTTGTAGCTTAGTATTCATAACTTGTTTGAAGGTTGAAGGGATGGTCCTTACTCCGATAAAAAGTCTGTTATATCTGAACGACCCTTTATGAGTGTTTATTTTCAAGTAACGCTTACACTTCTCCGCTACTGGAATTTGTAAATAAGCTTCTGATCGGTCCAATTATGCAAAATACTTCACCTCCCATTAATTTTCGCAAATAAGTCTTCTGGTAACGGCAAATGGTACTGATGGGCTTCAAGTGCTTGATTCAATCCAGTCAAATAATCGGCTCATTTCCGGACACATCTATTTGGCTTTTTAACAATCACTGTCGGTGCTGCCCAATCGGAAAATTCATTGGTTCTGTGATTCCACTTCTTTATGGGCGCTCTAATTCTTCTTCAACAGCAGGAAGCGCTGCACAGGGTAACGGACGTTTTGGCATAAAAACGGACGGCGACTCCCGGTTTAAGAATTAATGGTGCTTTAAACTTTTTACATTCCCTCAATTCTTCCGTAAACACTTGATCATGTCTTTCCAGCGCAACATCCTTCAGATTCTTTTCCGCTGGTTTATTGGTTCTCACGAAGCTGAATATATGGTCTATAGAATGATTTGCTAACTGTAGTGTTTCTATTAGGTATAGACCCAACAATTTAGTTCTGGATTCTCAGTGAGATATCATGTCGCATTCATCTTCGCGTTTCCTTTTGGAACTGTCCAACAAACCTCTCTAACAACATTTGATTTCTCTCCAGATGCATTATAAATTAACTGGGTTGTTGGGAGCACCTGAAGTTTTTAATGTGCTTCCATGTTCTTCGGCTAATAATTATGATGTCGAAAGCAGTATCGAGGTGCAGGCGGGCACCTTGTTTATTAATATCCAAGTTAACATACTTCCTTTGGCGGGAAATTTGTGCTCGGTTATGTCATGCCAATATTTTGTTAGTTAATGCACCAGGCCTGCATCTCTTAACGTATGGTTTCGAAGAATGTCGTTTATGGGCTCTTTTCTTCAGCAGAAATGTCCTTTATATCGGCACAACCTTTTATAGTGCAAACCTCCACATGACGAGCAGGAAGATGAGGGTTGGTTGTCTGTGTGCGATACTTTTCTTGAGCAAGAATATTTCTTTTCGCTTACAACATGAACCCGTATCAACCGAATATTATTTTCAACCATAGAAGTATCGTGTTTTAATTTTATGAATCTCTGGCACTTCGTGGTTATTTCTTGTAGTGTTATATTTGGGCACTGTTCAATTTTACTCAAAATTCTGGTTTTAATATCAGCATCTTCAGAAGATTGGAGGCTGCACACAAACACGAGACATCTAAACTGATCTGTCATTGCTGGTAGTTTGAGTCGCTCACACTCAAAGTTTACCAAACCCGCATGCTTCACTCAGTCATCATCACCTGCTTTTGTTATCTTGAGACATTAATAACAAGTATTAAACAAGGGTGACTTTTCAGCAAAGATTTGCGATAAAATCTCAGTCATCGCATCAAAAGAAAATCTCTTAGATTCTTTGGAAGGATAAAGTTACTGTAATCTTTATGTCCAACGTGCCAAGTTTTTTAGCAATATTTTGACCTTGGCGGTGTCATCAATATCTTTTAGGTCGACCTTGAACAAAACTTATTTCTTGAGCTAGGTTTCAAAAGTAATGCCAACTGAACCATCGAAATTAAATTCGCGAATAGAATTAATGATGTGGTCAATATGAGACTTGAAAGGGTCATCCGTGACCCCTTTTTTATTCAGGTTCATTTGTTGGGTTAGTGTCTCTATAATACGAATCTGGAACTGTTCGAAATGTTTTTCTTGATGCTCCAGTATGGCTTTAAATTGTTCAAAAGTAAACGACATCTTGATAAGATAACCCCATCGCCAGTTGTTATATTTAAAACTTACATTCTTGATATGCCACGTATAACTTGAGCACTGGAACTCTAGAACCCTCCAAATCGCAAATGAGAAGATAGAAGACAAGTGAACGGAATGTTTTTCCAACAGTGTCAATTATGGTACAAAACTGCCAGGCATTTATAGTTTTTGGTAAAAACCAAATCATCATTATAGTTATCCAATCCACACACTGGGGGTTATTAGAATTGTCCAATAGGGAAGCTACACGTAGTGATTCTGCAATATTCTTCCAAAACATGGTTGGATAGAATATCTTCAGCTCTTTCTGAGCTTCATAGAGCTTCCATGAGTTTACCCATGAACTGCCCTCACAATATAACTGTTCACGGTGTCCAAAAAGATGAGTATTTCGGGGATGCAGATTCATACACTTAATGAATCGAATTTCATGAGTTAGCTGTGATATTTATGCCGTCTGATGATTCCTAAGTATATTACACCGTGAATGAATGGAATTCCGTGTGTATTTCCTTTGATTGTCCTCACACAACTCACTCTGACCAAAATTCTGGTCCCTAAGTGAATACTAGGCTATGAATTCGACAATATTGAGCATTACTAGCTAGCATAACGAGTTCAATTACTTCTAGTAATCATGTTGGAGTCGCGATGGAACCTGCAACTGAGTAATTGAATTCGCATTCGAATTCCGAATCCTTCTGGGAGAAAATGATGGGTGTTTACATCTTGAGCATGACCAGAAATGATGTTGAAGATGATCAGATTGTGGCTAATTTTCTAACATTAATGGGAAAAATTTCATACAGCTTACTCATAAATGTAGTGTTTCTGGATAGACCCAATTCACTTTTAGATGAAACTTTCAAATAACCGCTGTTAAATCATGCTACCTGTGTGAAATTCAAATGCTGTGAAAGAGTAAACTTCATTAGAATAACTAGAAGTCTGGAGAATTCATTCTTGAATCGCAGGAACAGGCAGCCAACTGTAATTTCGGTGAATAATTTCGTGTCCGTCTATATGATGGATTCACTGCAGGGATTTCTATACCGAATTCAGAAATGTTCTTTTCAACATGCCAAAGCTGTGTACGTTAATTGTGAGGCAGCGCATGAAACTGAGTTCCATGTTATCAAGTATACCACTATATTACTAGTTAGTCCTAATCTGATTTGTACTCGAGGTTATACGGACAGGCATTTAATTAGTAATGATTCTCGTTCTCATGAAAATGTGCAGAACAATCAATTAATGATCTGAAGGGCAGTAAACAAAGATGAAAAGAAGTTTGATAAATGCTTGCCATGTGAAAATTTCGTCATACCATCTACCATCTTCAATCATCAAACATTTTCATTCCTGACTTATAATGAGGCGGGTTTTAGGTTCCTGGGTTATAAATGAGATATGAAAAACGGATCTGTCGAGCCCGAAACATCCTTTTCGACTTCATGTTCCTCGTCAATAAGCTCAGACAGAGGGAAGGCCAGCCGCTACTAGCAGATGGGATAATTCATAAATGAATAGACGACACTCCAAAGTCAAAGTAAATTATTCTTTTATTTAAGCCATAGGACAGGCTAACGAGGTCTAATTCTTTCTCAATTTTTAGCTCATAGCGATAAACTCCCTCTGCACGCACCTGAAAAATTACTTTTTAATGACAACCCACGGCTTTGGGAAGAATTCTAAATGTCAACTCTCAAAAGTGGGACGTTCCGAATCTACGACATCGCAGACTACACATTTATTTCACTTCATCCATTCAAAGTACTGTTCGTCGGAAAACTCCAAATATCTTTTATCTATGTGGTCTGAAGATCAGGCGCCAGCTGTGACGAAAATGCTTTTTAAATTAACGTTGAACTTGTAAATGTAGAGTCCGTTTCTATCCAGTTATTTTAGATGACTTCCGAAGAAAATTTCAACAGATTCATTTTGCATCATGTAAGTAAGTAAACATAATGTTTTTTCTTCACTCCAGAAGGATATTAATAACCAATAGTTTACCGATTGTAGAGTCGGGCAGTCAGTTCGGGGCCTTTATTTCAATGTACAGTATTGCTGTCCTTGAGTATATAGGTGACTTAAAAAAACCCACCTTGTGACCGAAAGCATTTTAAGAACCCTGAGCACCAACTTCAATACTTATCCAAGTCTGTTTAGTACGCGGAGATTGAGAGAAATATAAAAGGTTTATCGGAACGATCATAAACCGAGTGAATACAGGCTAATTAGCGAGGTATTAAAGATTGTCTAGACAGTGTTTGACATCCCATTATTTAGAATTTAATGCACATTACCATTAATTAGCTACTAAACCTTCCGGCAACCTCCATTAGCTAAATCAACGTTTCAGCTATTTAGATGGCTATGCAATAATGACACTTAACATAGTTCGTTATTCCAAAACAACAGTGTTCCATACAGCTGTATATAGCTCTTCGAAGAAGACATTAGAACAGGGGTTAAGTTCAAAAAGCAGCACCCAAGTTAACCTCTGAGACTGTAAAGCCGTGACAGCGATAGGTTAGCTCAACTAAATCTATTCCTATTACGCGGACTAAAGTTGATTTGATTACGATCTTCAAATTACAGAATAGTAACTTTTCGTTCGAAATGTTGATATATTGTAAATAAACCCAGTATAAGTTCTCAGCAGCAGGACTAACATATTGTAATTTATCGAATTTCCTGTAAGATCATAAGCAAGTAAATACAGGTCACTAAAGTAGATGATGTGTGTCACATGATCGGGGGCCTACTCAAGTTTGACGGATATAGTGTGGCAAATCAGCTAACTTTGATGTCACGTCTCGCGGTCAGAACCTAACGTGGATTGTCCTTCCATAGTACCAAAGTACTATGGCTGCTTTGGAAACCATTAAACACAAACGACGTCATTACAGAAATATATTAGTTAAAGTAGGTACAAGAAACAGAGTGCGACCACCACCATATAGATCAGTACGTGGTATGTAATTAACTGATGCGCGTTCGTTGTCCTTGAACTTGACGGGGGTAGACGGACTGCTCATTATTCAGTGATCTAACCGCCGTATGATTTGGCTAGGCTCAGTGACATTTCACTGGCCTTACAATACTCCCCCACCAGATTCAACAACCATTTGAACGGCTTTTAAACACGTTGACAGCAAGCGCGCCAGAGACTGCCAAACGATGAATATCAATCCTTCGTGTATTACTAAGCTGTAAAACAAATGGAAAAGAGTTGGCAGCAGTTTATCGGGAAATAGCGAGTAATGACAAACCTGAGAATGTCGGATTAGTCCATTCGTTTAATAGTGTGACTCACAACATTTTAGAGTTCTATAAAGCCTTCTTGAAACACATTGCGTTGAAAAGCGATTGAATTCCTCAGATAAGCAACGTTAAGTCTGCAGAAAATGTAATAATATTGCAGTAGTAATACGATAAGTGTATTATCGATTGATGCTGAAGTTCGCACTGTCTTCGATCTAAGATTGAATGTCAGTCCTTTCCAATGATAATTTACAATTCACAAGTGCCGAATTCTATTTATATTTATACTTAGGAGGTTAACTGAAAGTACAGAAGTATAACCGTGAAAATATATCGTTTCGTCATACAAAGTTTTTTATCAGAGTTCGAAGAAATGGTGATCTCTGTTACAACCAGTTAGGTTTGTTGACTACAGATGAAGGGTGAAAGTGGTATGATAAAGTTGTCTGTACAAGATAATACACGTCACGTGCTGTATAAGAGTTCAGTACCTATAAGAAAAAATATCGACGAGAACATGAGAAACCAAAAGTGTTATTCTGGACTCATGTCAGCTATATTCGTGAAAAAATGTTGTCAGTGTTGAAATAGAGGTGACAATGTCGTTTTCAGTTTACAAGAGGTTTGCTCAACTGCGTAAACTGATGTAGCGGCAGATGAATCTCCTAAATAAATAGTTCTGTATTTCTTTGATATCAATGCTGACTCCCTTAGTCCTACTGGAAAGACCCTGGCTGAAGGAGCCCGGTCACAGACCCGCACCAGATCACGAATGAGTACTCTGTACTACTTTGCAACTGATAGTCAACTTAGACCGAATGCTTCTCGACATACAGATAGATTTTCAGATATATCTTAGAAGCCCTTCATTTCTGAACTCTGATTTAACTGAGTTGGTATACTCCGACTGTAAAAGTGTTACATGAAAAGGTGTTGTGAATTGCTGAATATCTGTGGCAGTTTTATACATTTTGACATATACGTCAGAAAGTCAAATCAGCAAGGTGATACCGATTAAGAGTATTAAAAAAGGAATTCCAACTTCCCGTCTTCCTTAAACTGAACATAGATTACTTATCCTGTTTATCCTTGTTCTTGAAGTTGTTTAAAACATCTAAATGATTTGCGATTTCAAAATAAAAATGTGTTTCTAAGGGCACAGTAGTGGTTACATTACAATAGATATTGTCCTTGTAATCTCGTAAAATCTGTGTCGACTTTACACATCTCATGAACGTTTGTCGTAAAAGTAGGTTATTTGATTTGCGAAAATACTACCTGGGATTCCGACCATAAACCGGTGGATAAATAATCTAATTCTTTATCCCAAGAGAGCTAAACTTAAGAAATATAACTCCAAATCAAAAGACATATCGGTATAACAAAGCGTTTTACAGACATTAGAAGGGTGATTTGGAGTTATGCGGCTCATAAAAAATATTTCACGTATATTCATTCTTGACAACGCTTTCATCAGTGAAAAATATATAGTCTAAGGACTCCGAAACAAATCAGACCTGAATCCAGGAATGAAAGAATTCGAAGCCATATTTTGGAGGTAGTCGGTATGTCACGAAGTTCATAATATACGCCCGCTTGTTGAAAGCAGGGGTGCGTAGCACGACATACTCAATGGTGATCAGATGCGGATGTGTGACTGAGCGCCTTCAGTTAAGTTTTGTACAATAATATGGCCAGTACAACTTCCGGAGACATAAAAAACTAATAACTACGGCAATTTATTCACCGTTTCAAATTCATAAACGTCATGTTATCTGACAAACGTTACGAAAGACGGATGGTTATTTACCATGAACTGTGTGAATCCCATAGCCATGCCTCGTTTGTTTTCGTCGATTTTAGTTTTCATGGTGATTGTGAAAACATTTAGCAATAGGGGAAATTTCCTAGGCATAATTATTTTCATAAGGTGAATATTGAAGTCAGTAATATAACAAGGTAAAGTGATATTCTGAATCCATTGAGTGTTATTTGACAAGTCATTTATGGAAACAGAGTCAAAAATTTACATGAGGGAAATGGTTTGTAGTATATTCATATATTGACAACGTAATAAAGTATTCAAATGAATATCGTTTTTATGAATAAATTAGATCGGCATTAGCGTTGTCTTATGCCATTAATTTTTTAAAGTCATTTTCAGGTGGTGACAGGACAAGCCAATTTAGCAAAGAAAAGTGGTTTAGTTTTAACAACCGGAAAATGCATCTTTTCAACAATCACAGGCTTGAAAAATGATTAGGCTGTCACAGTGAAGTTTCAAACCAGTTCTTCAACCTGAAAACGATTAATTAAAGTGGTAAAGGTTGTCAATTATCTAAAAACATACTTCGAAACGCTGAGACTGTGTCACATCAGTATAACGTTTTTCTTTATCCCTAGCAAATCAATCGTTAGGATTTAGTTACGATATTGAACATTTTACCCTTTCTAATCATGTGGTTTGTTTGAGTATCCGAATAAAAAGACCAATAGAAGTAAGTTATCGGAAAAATCTGTCACTAATCTAAAAAGGATTAACATGTTGACTCTATGCTAGTATTGCACAAAATAACAGTTCAGCACTAAGAAATTGTGTATGGGATTTGATTAGTATAAAATACATAAAATACATAGTAAAGTGGATAACTTTTATTGTTTTTAAATTAAAACAAAATGTCAATTTAATAAATTTTCTGGTCCCTTGTCCCTCTGAAGTTTTAAAATAAATAACACTCGTTTATGTTTTCTATTTATCCTAATCTCTAGACGTTATAAGACTTTCAATTTACCTGATAGATCTTAGAAAAACTTGTGAGCTGTCAAAACGTTTCTGATAAAACCAATGGTTGATTACGAAAACAGACATCAAGACCCGTCTCCAATATTGCTTCATGGTGGTTTCGAAACAAAGCCTTCTTTGGAAAAAGACAAATATAAAAAAGTTCAGAAGGACTACGACTTATCAAACAAATGTTTTTTTGAAGGAAAAGACTACGAATTAGCTAAGAACGCATCTGAAAGCAAACATGGCGACAAAAATCTTCATATTCAGTTGAGCGATGCGAAACTACAAGCTGAACACTTTAGAACAGAGTTCTTTAGGGTAAGATATACCGGCAGTATTTCAGTTTTTTATGATAAAATATTATAATTTAAGAAGGTTATTATAAGAACAAAATATTTCGCATAATTTATTCTTTTAGCTACAAAATCTTTAAACTTGGATAGAGTATAATCGACATATAATATCGGAGTCTGGCAAAAGTAGAAAACACCATCATTACGACATTTGCTTTTATCCTACCTGAGCGAAAATTTGTCTTTCCTTATTGGCTTCACTTACATAAACTAATTAATATCATACTGAGATTACTGGTTTATTTGGGTCATCAATAATATACATGATGCGTGGAAGATCGTCGCTTTTGTTTGTTTAGAAGATTAACTCATGAGGACACAGTGTTGTGAAATAAAAATCATGTAAAATTTGTAATATTTCTGTGTGTGTAAAACTGAATTTCTAACATTCCTCGGCTTAGTGTAAGTCAATTCTTCAGAGGATAAAAACGGGATTGAACTAGGATAGGTTTGAACAACATACAGGAAACAAAGTAAAATATTTTGAATATAATCAAAATAGGTCGATGCATGTTGATGTTATTCGGATTAAAAGTGAATCTTTGTGAGACAAACTTATAAGTATTTGTTTGTGTTGTAATGAGTTTGAAGAAGTATGAAGTTTTGAATGCAAGAAAGGAGAGTTAAAGTTATGTGTATTAATAATGGGAGGTGTAAATAGAACTAGGTACTGCTTTTTGAGTACGTAATCTTTGTTGAACAGATGGTAGCCCCTTTCTTGTCGAGCCATGTAAGGTTTAGCACCATACATTAGTGAAACCTCTTATGAGCTATCACTAAATTAATGAACTCAGTTTTATGGTTGCTGGAAATAGTATTCACTGATGGTGCTACTGGTTTGATTTGAAAGTTATAAAGTTTGACAAGATTATTAGGAGGTCATTTTGCGTAGCTTAGAGGTTCTTTGATTCGAGTTGTGATTTCATGTCATGACTCTCTATTATAGAACGGATCACAATCTATACATTCTAATCTTAGACAATTTCGCATCAAAGTCAAAGAGGATTTTCCTTGCTTTCAAAATAAAGTACTTGAAGAGTGTTGGTCGTTTTACATAGAAATTTAATTCTATGTGGTTTAAGGATTCGTTGTAATTCTTTCCTTATGCCGTGGTGGTATAGTAGAACTACTGTATTAGTCCAAGATAGTTCATTTGACTCACTGCTATTTAGTAACATATCATTTCATTTTAGCATATTTCTAGTCATTTAATCCTAAGATGCCAATTACGATTTTCTATTCTCTTTACTTCTTTTCTTTTGACGCGATAATTCTGTTGGTCCTTAAAAAAATTAGAGCCAGAGACATACCTGACTGAATGAATTTGTGGAGTTGGGTTTTGTGCAAAACGTCGAATGAGTCGGTTCTCAGTAAATAGTTAAATTTAGGTTTCTGTTAGAACTCCTTTAGGCCAAATAGTCTAAAAGAGGCAGTTTACCAAGTTTATCTTCGTTCTTGAGAGTGAATTTGATGTATTCTGGGGAAGTAATTGTAAGTTTAAATAAGTTTCAAAACAAATCTTTTCTAATAAGGATAAATATGTCATCTACTTATTTGAGCTAGTTACGTAGTTTGGGGACACTGGAAAAAGTAAGCGATTCTATACAAAAATCAATAACTTATAAATATTCGGTGACATGTATCTCGTAGCGTCTACATCCATTCGTTTGTAAAACGTCCTTTTGAAATTGAATAGGGTTAAGTTCAAGCATAGTTTACAGAATTTGATTAAATTAATGCTCAGTGGTAATCCGTTAGACAGAATATTCACGTTATCTGGTAAACCATTAGTAAAGTCTATGCACCTATCACTTGGAATGATATGAAGTTTTAGCACACCACTGTTTCGTTTTCTCCGTTATGCAACCACGAAATCAGTGGTTTCAAATCATACGAACTTTTGATAGTATTGTGTAGATTGTGTTGAAGTGGCTTGAATATGCAGCTTCTATCCTTACATCATTTGTACGTAGGGTTGTTTACAAAGTTTATTTTGGGTCTTAATCAAGTGTTGGGCCTATGCATTTCTGATAATCCACGAAAGCCTGGTGTTGTGTTTGGTTTGAGAAACAGAGTAGATTATAAGGAGATTCCAATGAATGACTTTAGTCGTTTTAAAAGCTAATCTGTATCTGATTCACCTTTATTGGTAATCGTTTGAAGGTTTGTTGAATTAGCCTTTAGAAATGGTTACGTAGATAGATTTGCAAGGGCTTTTTCTGTAGTCCGTTTTGTTCATGATCACCGTTATTTTGCCTTTGTCAGCTTTTGTAACTAAGATTGTTTAAACACTTTGTAGTAAGCAAAGAGCATTTAATTCCGCTTTTGAAGGACTAGGTGGAACGTATTTTTAGTTAGTCTAAATGTAAGTTGTTTCTTTGATTTAATCAATATAAGAGACCATTATCTTGACAGTGATTGGAATATTAGTTCTAGGATCAGAAAGCTTTTCAAAGTACTGACAGGTTATTATGTAACCTAAAATGTTATCATTTTAAACGAATGGTGATGTCGTTTGTACTTATGCTTCCATCCGGTAAATTAAAAATAACTCCTAGATCATTAAAATCAGATTTTGCTGTTGATGTTTTACTTTCTTCCATTTTGTCTTTATACTTTTAGTATTTCTTAATCTATCTAAATTTTGGTGAAGTTAAATAATGAGTTCCTATTTTGCTGAAAAGGTTGAAAATGGGAATGCGTAATTTGATGGAACTTAGATGCTAGATTAGATAATCTGGGTTCTTGACACACTCGTGTTGTTTTGTTATGAGAATATACATTCGTAAACAAATTCTTGTAAAAAGATTCGCAGTGGGTATTGAACCTCTTCAGTAGATCATCACGAAAGTTACAATAACCTGGGAATCAAAGACCTGACAACGATGGCTTTCTGTAAACAACATTTACTAGCTATTCGACGATTGTATCAAACATATTTTCATTTCAGATAACTTGATTCAGTTAATAATAATTTTACCAATAACATTACCAAGGTTTGACTTGATAATTCTAAAGAAATTGAAGGTTGAGTAGATTGTTTAGTTGTGCAACTGTTTTAGCTTTGTTAGTTAAAATACATACCATGATTGTATTGTTTAAAAAAATATAAATTATATCTGAGATGGGATTTTAAAATCAAACTAAACAATTAAATGATACTATTTACTTTATAGCTTAGTAAAGAACGTCTTGAAGAGCAGCGTGAACTAACCATCGTGGTCAAATCACTTCGTGACCAATTGGAAGCAGTTTCTCAAGAGAGAGACCAAGCAATCACCAAAACAAGTATGGAATCTAAACAAAGCGGAATGCAATTCCAGCATTTGAAATACTGTGTAGATCAGTTATTGGAAACTAATGCTGAACAAGAAAGGGTAAGTTTAATTACAAAAATATGGAACGGTCCTAACCACATTCATTTTGGTTATTATCTGATTTGCTTTTTCATACTATTATTATTATACTGTTAATGAATTGAGGTCAACACAGCCTCATAAGTTGACGGAACTTCAGAATCATTTGTTGTGTACTGCTGAGAGGTGATTATTTTAGTACGACATTTTGTAGTTTAATTGTTTTACGAATTCATTTATACTATTCTTAAAGCAACCCACCATTTCTTATGAAGCCAACTTTTTCGATTTAAAATGTATTCAGTCTAGCCGAAATTTGTTATCGGGACATAAAGTTAATCTTGAACTGAGAGTAACTGAAGAACCGTAAAAAACCAGTTAAAGTTAGACCACTATGTTATCCTGATTTCGAAATACCCAGCTGTGTACATCAATAATTCTATGTAAGAGTAAACTCTGGACCTTTAGAGTCCAAAGCTAGTCAATCTGCCGGTATTCCACGGTCCACAGTCTTCAATATCATTAAGTTTTCAAAACAATCTAATTTTTACACTCTGAAGTCTAAGGTACTGTTCAACTTTTACTTCAGTAAACTTTACAGCTTACAGCCACTCACTATATCTTGAAGAAATCAGTCTTATTAAAGATCACAAGTTAGCAAATGACAAAAAATAGTGGGCATGATGTCTGGTTGCTATGAAAATTACCTCAAAAGTGTATGGTATATTATCGAAATAATGAAAGCTATAAAGTTCTGTAGATTACTAATCAACTGTCATAAACATTTGGTCAACAAGTTTGTCTTTAAAGCAACTGTAAAGTGCCAATATAAAACACTGAAGTTTGCTAAATAGTCATTTTATAGTAGATCTCTACTGAATAAGATTTGAACATAAATATTTTCGTAGTGAAGATTTTGTACAGTTAATTATGATGAATCTGAATAGGTTTTGTGGAAATTTTTAGAAATTTCACTGGTTGAAATCATGAGTCAATTGAAGCTAGACCACCATGGAAAACATGGAAGCACTGGACGGCCGTTTCGTCCTAGTATGGGACTCAGCAGTGATGAACCTGTTAGTTTATCGATAAAATTTCTTGCCTACTTGTAATAGCTCTTCATTAGTAACATTTAGTTGAATATATTTGCTCATTTAACGGGTAACAGTCTCTTGCTTTTCAAACGTTGAAGTTCAGTGATAGATGTCTGTCATATAGTTAGTATTAGAGTTACTTCAGGTTTTTTACCATTCACATTTTTGTCTCGACGATCAATCCTGAATTCTATAAGGTCCCATTTAATTGTGTATAAACGTATTCCATCAGATTTTTAAATGGTGTAAACAGATGTCAAACGAATGACATCCTAAAAATATATGTGACATAAAAATAAATAAATTCTTTCTATTTCAAAGTGTCAACATTTTCTGAACAGTTTAAAATTGTATGGACATTTTGGCTTAGAGCAGTCAAATAATGTTTGGTTCAATGATGTTTATTGAAATTCTCCTTCCAATAGGGAAAAAATGAAATATTAGTCAGTGAGGGTTAAAGTTATATAATGTCAAGGGAGTCGACGTTCACATTCAAAACTGTCCGAATATTTTTAATTTACTTATGTGATGAATATAATTTTATTTAAAAAAATTGAAACAGCGTATCTCCATATTGAAACTAATTTTGTTATAAATCAATAAAACTACTTTTCGTATTATTTCAGCGTTTTACTTTCAATAAAGATATCGCTTCATAAAGATAGTAGATTTAAAATGTTTGCACGTAAATAGTGATACAACTTTTCAAATTCAACAATAACAATTTGATGAATTCCTGAAAATCAGACTTTTATTCAGTTTCATTCTATATAACAAACTATTCTATTTTAGTCGATTCGTTAAAATAAAACTTAAACAATTTGTTTACTTGAAATTCATTCTAACTTGAAAGAACTGGAGTAATCAGGAATTTTCGCACACATAATAAATTAAATAACAACAATTTCAAAATTTTCTGAGTCTTAGTGAAAACCATTTATGGTCATATTTCAGAAAAGACTAGATATATGTTCTGTTGAATCAATATGTTAAACTGGCTTTAAATTACTGAATTTAAAACATTTATTGCATTGAAAAAAAAGATTTTAAAAAAGTTGATCATATATTTTATTCTTATAGCTTATGTGTGCAATGAATGAACGTTTGGCAGCGTCTAACAAAGAAATCGAGAATTATAAATTGTTTCTTGATTACATCAATTCGGCTATACAAAAATTTGATCACAATAATAATTTAATAGAACCAATAAATCTCGAAATTCAAGATATTGAATATATACACAGTAATTTTAACAAATTTCTAAAAGTAAGTAGAGTTGAGAGAAAGAAAATTTATCCAAGTAGTATTTAGTATATAAAGAAATATTTTGTTAGATTTCCAGCTTAGATCAGAATCCTGAGGCTTCTGATTTGGATTTCGTTGTAAACTATGTTTATCAGTCAGGGATATTTCAAAGATTTTCTTTTAATCTAAATTTTCATCAACGCAGATCAAGTAAACAGCTACCACTTTGTGTTTATCCTTATAAATGTATTTTAGATTTAATGTAATTGAATTTTGAGAAGCATTGCCTACAGTGAAACTCGAAACAGTAGTTATTTATACAAATTAAGCAAATTAGTTATAAAGATGTATCCGTTAGACTAGTTACTTCTGATAAAATAATGATAAGTTTTTATGTAAAGCTAAAGTACTTTGTCCTTATCATCCAGTTTCTGTTCTAGTTTAAACCGGCCATTTTGAATTGTAGAGTACAGTGATATGCAAATCAAATAAAATTATGAAGTTTTATCGCTTGCCCTTGTTTACTGATATTTTTGACTCCCCAAATTAATAAAAAAGCTTGAGAAAGATGCTAAAGCTATGGAGTTGGACATTTTTGTAAATTTAACAGGAACCAGTTCACTTAGTAGATTTCCAAGAAACACAAGCTGGTTTAGGTAAAAGAGAAATTGCTAAAAATAGTGAAGATTCCTGTTTGGACAACAATAATAAAATATCTGATTTTTCTTCCCGTGATCCTTGAATTTTTGAATATTACTTCATTTAATTTCACGCAAGTTATTAAGCGATTGCAACTTCGTGTGATAATGTCAGTAAATATTGTGCATTTAGGGTTAAAAACACTATTCTCTGTCTGTTTAGACCAATTTGCATAAAGACAGTTTTAAACTCAACACAACAGACGAAATCTAAGTAAATTAATCACTAAGCTTAAACTTCCTTGTTCATAGATGTTAAATACAAATGACCTTTGAACTCAATAACAATTTCATTTATCAGAAAAATTGGTTTTTAATTGTGAAAAAAAATTATTTTACGATCTTAGACATTAGATGAGAAAGAACATTTACAAATTATAGAAAATGAAAAACTGAAAACCACAATAGATGTAATGCGAAGTCAGCATGAAGCAGAAATTTTTAGAATTGAAGAGAAACACAAGTCATCGTGAGTGTTTTTAAATGTCTTTTGTAAGACTATTTTCCAGATATATTTAACTGCCGAGTCTATGGTGTGAAAAACAGATCGTTTTACATTTTAAACGACTGATTATGAGATTTTATTTTATTAAAAACAATGGCGTAACAGGGATAATAATTATCCTTTTATTTTGTACTGTATATCAGGTGTGATACAGAATTGTCTTTGTGTTAAAAAGCGGCTTTTCATATCAGCATTTATGGGATTAGTAAATGCTGATAAGTTTTGTAGTAGAAAATCCGTTAACGAATAAACAATTTGGTTTATTTCGTTAAATTTGGCAGTAAAGTTTGAATAACTAACTTAGAACAAAGAAATAAAAATAATACAAATTATCGGCTTAATCAAGTTCTTTTTTTCGGATTTATTCTACCACTTTTTATTGTAGTTCATTTCAGATACAATGAACCAATCCTAAAGAAGTAATACCTTATCATATTTATACATAGGAAATTCATTTAACAGCCTTTGAACTTCAAAGATACGTTAATTCACATGATTTTTTTTTACATATTACATAAATATAACAGTTTTGCCTATTCGAAAAAAGCAAACTGCATTTTTTACGTCTGAGTGGCATCTGTCTTACGCATGGAGCGTAGAATCATTTTAAATAGGTAATGTCTGAAATATTATTTAAATGATGAATTACAACATCACCTAGACTTTGATGCTAAAGTGTTAACTGTTCTTTTAAACCACATACTTTGGTTACTACATTAGGCAACTGTCTCGAATATGAAACCTTAGCTCCGATTCTGATTGTAGGAATAGAGATTTCAGAAACCATACTGCATACTGAAAAACACCAAATCAATGAAAAACTGTAAGTTTCAGAGGTATGACTATAATTGTTCTGACCAGTGGTTATAAATTCAGTCAATTTAAGTTTGAACGGTCTAGGAAATGGAAAAGTAAAAATTTTATTGGTCATTCGTATACTTATAGAAAATAAAAAAAAGCCTTTCTAGATGAAAATCAGTTGTCGTTTTATTGTACTTGCTGTTTCTCACAAACGAATGTATATGTAATAACACAAAAGCTTGAAAACTTATGATAATATAACACATTAAGAGCCTAAATTTTCACTTCTGAAATAATTCATATGGTCTACGAAATTAAGTTTATTAAACTAAAAATTAATGAATATTCTTTTGTCTATAATAACCAGCTCAGTTCTTTCATTGACATCAGTAGACGTTTCGTTAGTTATCGGTCTATGTGATAGGTAATGTTTAGAAACTTTAAGATTATTAGGTAGTTTTACCTGAAATCAATAAGAAAGCTGCCATTATATTGTACAGTAAAATAATTACTTATTACTATGATTTTCCTTTTAAAAAATTAAGTCTTATATCAGTATCACTAGAAAGGTTCAAAATTTATGTTAACGGAACTACAAAATATTATGTATTCGCATACATTATTCTGGTCTGGTCATTTAATTTATCCCATTAAAATCACAGACGTTACTTGAAACGCTTCCAATTTAATGAAAGTATGCATTTATTTGATCTAAGAGTTGTAAGTAGTAGATATTTTACATGCTATGTGATTGAATTATTTTTCTCTAGCCTTCAGGAACAATGTGAAAAACTGCAAGATGAACTTGATAATACAGTTGTGCGTGCCGAAAGAGCAACACTAGAGGCAAGAACTCTAAGTGTAGAAGTGGCCAATGCTAAGTCGAAATACGAGAAAGAAATAACTGAAAAGTGTGAACAAATTCAGGAGTTGGAGAAAAAATTGTCCAATTTCACAACAAAACAAAATGTAAGATTTTTTCTACTTATGATAAAGCTGAAAGTCTGTTGACATTCAGAATTAAAAGACTACTAGCTACTTTAGAACTTTCACCGTTGTCTTTGGTTATTCTTTCATTAGCTGACAAATAACACACATACTATTTTGTTTCAGTATTTAGTACACGAATAACGATTAAGATTTCATAAAACATAGTCACATAATTAAACTAGTTAGCTAGTAGTTGTGCTTTTTCAAAATACATTAGGATCTGTCCTGTGAATGTAAATCATTTTAGTAACATCTTTTTTTATTGTTTTCTTTGCCAGTTGGACTAAAACTTCAACATGTGTCCAGTAAACCATCTGAATACTTTACTTTCTCGTGTTAGATCACTGAAAATTTATTATGGCTATCGGTCTTGCTTTTTGATAAAATACTGGCCAACAGAAAACATATTCTGATCATAGAAATTTTTTAAATAATGTTTTCTAGAAAGCCAACGAGAGCTTCATGAATCATTCATGCATCCATGACAATCCAATATCACCAAAATTTTTCTCTTAAACTACTGTTTTTTCTCAGCAGCTTAAGTTTTTTTACTAAAAACACTAAAAACTGACTTATGATCAGCACTAAAACATAACTATTTTCAGAACTTTAGGTTTTAAAAAATGAAAATGTATCATACAAATACTTAGGAAGCAACGTCTGGTCAAAATTTCTGTTATTTTCTCTCTAATTTAGTATAGTGTATATCGATGACCAGCATTACCAGCAAACTAAATCTTCATTTCGTGAACACTTTAATTATTCGATGATTTCATTCTGGAATGGTTTCAATTCTGTTTAAAACTTACTGACAGTAACAACTACAGGATAAAGTCTACCGTATATGTGTTCGTAAATATCTTTAACGTAAATTTGGCTTTTGACTAGCCTATGTATTTGCTTAGTTCCTTGACGTTAAGTACTGCTAACAGGTTTCTGGGTGAAAATTTCTTACGTAAGCTATTTCTACTAACCCAATGATGCGTTGTATAATAATTAGTTTTCCATTAAACTAGGACACACACAATACTATAATCTTAGAAGATTGACAATAAAATTGGAGTAAAGACTTGAGGTAAAATTTGATTTTTGTTACATCATAGGAAAGTCTTATTATAGGTATCAATGCCAAGGTCGAACTTGATAGTTTCAAATAAATTGAACATTGTGCAGAGAGTTAATAATAAACATATTTTTCTGTTATATCCTAATGAGCAGAAATACAATTTTTCTACTCATTGAAAGTCTTTTTAATTTTCTGTTTTCTGTTTGATACGGACTAAGTAATAATTTGCTGATTGGCAAATGAAAATATAGACCATTCTTGTTTATTAGATTAAATAAATGGGTTTGAAGATATTTATGTCATCAATATATTTCACTCAATGTATGTCAATTATTCCAGGATTCAGATATAAACTCCAGGAAAGCATTAGAATCCGTGTTGGATACAACACAAAAAGAACTGGTTAAGATGAAATATGAACGAGACTCAGCAACAAGTCAGTTATCCACATTAAGTGCAAAACTGGAAGCGACAGAAGTAAGTTTATTCTCTTAATGATGAAATATATTTTGAATAACGAACGTAAAACTGTATCTTAATAATATCCTGGGACCAAATCCAGAACGATAATTTCATTCTTTTTCGAAGTCCCATGGTCTTAAAAATCTCAGTCAAAAGCCACCATAGTTCTCACAGACTGTATAAACAAGTATATTTTCTAACTGTATTTGGCGTAACATACAGTTATTTAATCAATAACTTTCAAAGAGTCCATAAGTGAAAGAACGTTTTCAATTCTTGATCCTTGAAAAATTATGTTAAAAGCTACGAAATTAGCAAAAGTAAGACTATATACGACTACATAAAGTGAATTGATTTATTTATGGATAAAAAAACTTTTAATATAACTTCCATAGGCAGTCAAATGATAACCGCAAGATCCATCGAATGTAATTTCATAGAAATGCTGTTATTGGTTTCAAGTTCAGAGTTAGTGAAGTATGCTTTCAATGAATGTTTCTTGTTAAAGTTTAGTTCCTAGATTTCACTATACTTGATCATTTATCATGAGTGTCGAGCTTCGCGCAGATGTACACTGACTCAAACTGATGAGTAATTCAGTTTCTTTAGGATCTAAGTAAAAATTTACCTTTTTTTTCAGTAAATAGTTAATTCTAGGATATGTGCAATTAACTTGCTCATTTCCTTCATTTAAACTCGTTTTCGTAAAGTCACGTGAGTGATTCTTTATGGTATGTAGTCAACTCTGATTGCATAAAGGCATCTCAATCACTTTTCAGAATTTCTTATAAATTCTTAACAAGAAATTTGTAAAATACTTGGATTGCTCACCTGTTTAAACCAGATGCCTTAGAATTTAGACACTTTACCCCTATATTGTATCTGATCTTTAATTATATATATATATTCAACGAACTTCCTTTCTCACTTTCGTTTTTTTTCATTCAAATTACCCGTAAGGCTTCTGTATAGGAAGACTGTCTATCAGAATCAACTCTCAAGCACCGCACACCACAATACCTCGTATCAAGAGTCTTTTCTCTCTACACATAAAAGACTACGGATTGCACACTCTCCCTTCTATAGGATTATCTTTTTCGGATGACACTTTAAAAAAAGTTATATCTCATTACTATTGGTAATTGTTGAATATACTTAGGATTCCTGCTGTTTTCTGAGTACTTAGTCCATAAAGATGTCGCGTTCAAGTAATGTCTATAGTATTTAGTGTTGCTAAGCGATCACATAATATAACTTAACTTTTGGGCACGCTTGAACTTTCTAATCACTTTGTATGATAATATGTATGTGTTTATTTGTTTGTTGTATATATCATACCAAAAAGTTAAGTCGTGTTTTAATGAAATTGAACTGGCATGTTGGCCTTTGCCCCCTTTCATCTTCTCGTCTGTCTACCGTGACTCACGTATGAAACATAAACATTAAAAACACTCTTATTCTACTTTCTTATCCACATTATTATTGACAAGATTTGTCGATAAGGTATACAGGACACAAGTATGATCTTTATTTCGTCTACGTCACTAGCGCTTTGATCAAAATGAGGTCAGAAAACGGAGCTGTGTATCTGATAGATTTTTAGACACTCAGGAGGAATGAAAAAAGGAAATGGTTAGTCAGGCTATAACTGGTGAGGATAAGAGAAGACTGTCAGCTTAATCCATCTACAAAAACTTGTAGGAACAGTTAAAAAACCCTCAGTTGTTAAATTGTGTTTTGATCTCATAACTTCATTGTAGTAAAAATTAATTTCACAATTGCTCAGAACATTCACAATGATTACATATGTACAGTCTTATATTGCAGAATTGGATGACCGTCTAAATAAACAGATAACAAATAATCAGACAACAAGAAACGAATTGAGTGAGACAAACAAAATTAATAAGCACTTGCAAAGTTTCGCTAAATCGATAGAACTGTCAATGAAAAGATTATACAATATGATTAATAATGAATTGAACTTGAATAGAAATTGGAAATGGGAACAAATTTTTGAGGAAAACCATATAGGTGAATTCATTGACAACGTAAGACTTCTTTATTTATTTTTAGTTATGCATAAGCTTTCATCACAAACTATAATAAGTTATGGAATAATTAAATAATGGGATTCAGTATATGAAATTGTTCAGCCTATTTAGATAGTCATTAGAACAATACTTTATAGAGTTCTTCTCTTGTCTATATGTAACGATTTGAGTTAGTGACGAATACTACATTCAAATTTTATGTTTGTTCAGAAGTTAGGTATAAGGTTCTATAAATTTATGAATCTAGATTTCGTGTGTTAAAAATTCCTTAGATCTTTCGTTTTGGTTATTGCATTAAACAGTATCACGATAATTAATCTGGGTTATATTCTTTACACTTTTAAGTGGCTTTACTTCCTAAAGCTATTATTATTTCATATCATATCATTAGTCCGGTGGTTCATCTTTTTCAAAAGATCCTACAAGATCTTAGCGCCTTTGGTTTAAGTGGTGATGTCAATCTGGATTTAAAATCTGTACTTAATTGCACTATCACCATGATATGAAGAACTAAAGTTTCTAGCACCCTGAAATAATAAATAATAATATGCTTTGTATATTCCTGACATTACGTTATGTACCATTCATATAAGTTAGCATTGTATGATGTTATTAAGAGATTACGTTTGTATGCAACGCAGATGTTATAAGCCATTTATTGTATTATCTAAATATATACTAAGCGATTTTAACGCTCGTTGTTAGCTCGCTTAGTTATAACCCGCATTTATAGTTACGTTGTAGTAAAATCATGATTAGTTGTGTTTAACCCTTCCGCGCATACGACAGAATTAGTTTATGTATTAGGTTGATAAACTAATATCGATCATGAACTATATGTAAATAAATTTTAGTATGACAGCAAGCTGGTGATAACAAAAACTCATATTCTAAACATAATAATTATTCAGCTCCAAAGAAGTTTATGCCTAATTTTTCCCTTATTTTATGTACGGAACATAAATTACATCGCAGACTAATGTCAGCTAGTTATTTCAGGATTATAGTAGTTATCTAGATGAGGCTGACATGTAATTGATAGGATTGATCCAAAAATCATAACGAAGCCTCCAGAGGCTCTAGCGCAGCCCAAGAGATTTCATCCAATCAGGACCTGATAGCACCTTCTGGAATATCAACGTGGCATGCTATGATTAGACGATTGAATAAATTTCCTGCTTGTGGATTGGTTGGATTATAATTTTGTCATAGCTAGTACTAATATTATAAATGCCCATGTTTTTTTGTACATTTTGGTGTCTTACCTAATAATCACTTTTCCCTGCTTCTTCCGCCCTTTGATTTGCGACTGTGGAGTTCTACACGTTGGAGTGCCAATAGTTGTATACCGTATTCTGCCATAACCAGGTAGAGTACGTAACAGTAACGTATAGTGTTTTTCAAAGGATAACCAGTTTTTCTATATTCATGTTTCGTATAAATCGATTGAGTGCTCTCTGTTGAATACCGAGTTCTCTTATGTCACCACATTTTCAATCAAGAGATCCTGAACTTGTTACACAGCAACCAACTGAAGTTTAAAGTAATTTTTTTCACATGTATTGGGAAATGAGTTACATAAACGTTTCATCCAATCAAAAATCTTATCAAAAGTTTGAATTTTTAGATGAGTTTTAGGTTGTTTTTACTTCTAAACATTTATCGTGATAGAACTTACAGATTGACAGTTTATACTACTTATAATGCTATATTACGATACACTTTAATTTTAAATTCATTTAAGTAAAATATATTTTATCTACAGGTGATGAAGATTATTGGTGAATTAAAAAAGAAATCAATGATGAATAGAGAGAATAAAGCACAAACAAAACTTTTGAAAAATCAAATAAAAGAACTGAATTATGAATTGGACAAATTAAAATCCACTTTTAGGAATAATCAACGTTGTATTAGTGAATATGAAAAGACACTTGGTAAATGAATGCTCTCATGATCATTTAAAAGTCCACTCACAAAAGATTTAAGACGTATGCTACCAACACGTAGCGTTGAGATATTTACTACTAACTAATTGAAGTTGATCCATTATCTTTTGTTATTTTATCTTTGTGAACTTACTAATTAGCTAACTAGGAAATAAAATCCCAGTTGGATAGTACATATATGATAAACTCTTTTTATGAAGTGAAACTTTAAATACGTTCTACTGGTTCAAGAGTTGGTGGTTTTGTTAACTTATCATAATGGTAAATTGTTGACATTTTTATGAAGAAATGAGGACATGACAAATGAGTTTTTCAGGTATCATCAATTCATTGTTATGAAGCATAACTAACAAAAGAAGAATTACTTTAAAATTGCTGAATGATTGACTGTCATCTACTGTTCAATATTTTTAAATAGTTTACCTTATAATGGAAGTTATATTCCTATGAATCTCGACGATTAAACGTTAAATAAATCCAACATCGCGCTCGTCAATCGGGTCCGAACTTTCACTAGCGAATACAATAAGACTTCAAAATATTCGAATATAAATTTATAGTTCATATGTAACTGTAAACTCAGTAAACCATCCAATCATGCTAATAATCTCAGAAAAAGGATGTGTTATGGTTCTTATCAGTCACTTGACGTGGAAAAGCGGTGAATGTTGTAAGATAACAGGTGTATGTATGTGTATGTAGATCTGATTTGAGAAAAAATCCCACTGACCGTAAATTGCGACTGGTTATGGTTGATGATGAAATGGGATCATTTGATAGATCGAAATCAAACGTGATACATGATACATAAAATCCGGATAAGTAAATAAATGTGTTGTTTTACTGACCGAACTGGTTGTTCATCTTATACTCAGTTCAGTTAACCGGTTAGAACAATTGAAAATAATCGTTACTGTTTACTAAAAAAGAGACGAATTAAAAGAAGTAAAATGAAATTCAGATTTACCCATTAATTGCTAGTTGGTAAAGTACAGCTAACTATATTTCATCTTTCCCATTTACATTGTTTGAGTTCGCTTATATCTGTAGAGCTTCAGCTGTCAATCTCTCTTTATAGGGAATTAAATATTTTTAAGGAATTATGAATAAAGTCATTTAAAACAATCTACATTCCTAATCGGTTAAAAGCCCTTATGTAGGGGACATGAGATCTTAAACTATAAATTATGAAAAGCAAATCAGTATCGATTAAGTTGGACGTCTATTGTAGTAAATTATTCAGTGTAAAGACTATTCACAGAATTTCAATGCTTTTTTACGATATTTTGAGTTCATAACAATTAGTCAGTTTGAATATTCTAGTTATTTTCCATTGATATACAATCGATAATTTTAATACATTTTGACCGATTTTCGTGCTCGATCAACGTCGGAAAGCTTCATCTGCAAAACTGGTATTTTTACTCTAATTAACGGGGGGAGGGAAAGAAGAGGACCGAAGTAATTTCGTTCATAGTTATGAAGCTGTAGTTGTGAACTATTATCACAGAGCAAGAATGTATCAACACACAATGTCATAAACATAGCTTAAAAAGTTAATACATAATTTCTAGTGGTTAATTTGAAATTTGAATTTTTGTTTTGATCTTTCCTCTGAAGTTACTTTTAATAAAGTTACCAACGAAATTAAATGTATCATTTTGTTATTTGTTTTATGTGTGCGATTGTTCCTTGACCGACAAGCTGTAAAGGTCAGTGAATTAGAAACTACCATTTCAGAAAGGGATTATTATCTACAAATAATTAATGAGCAAACTGAAGAATTATCCACAATTAAAGCTGATTTTCAGCGTCAAACAAGAGAGGTAGGTTTTTTACAACAATAAAACTTTGGAATCAAAACGATCGTCTCTCTACTAGTGCTTTTTACTGAAACGTTTTTAAGTATGTTTGAAAGGTTTAGTGATTATCAATAAACAGAGAAGATTGGGGTTTGCATATTAACGTGAATTCATTATATATCAAGGCTTCTCACTAATTGCAAACAGGCTAAAATTACATTCGTAATACTTATGAAAATAATACATTTGTAATATCTTAATGGGTAGAAAAATTAAATTGTTAGATTTTCCGACGTTTCGTGACTCATTGTAAGCCACTTCTTCACGGAATAAGTAAACAAATAAAATAACAGTTGAATTCATCAGTCGATTTAAGATAGACTACCGTTGAACACTTGGAAGTATTAGACATTCATTTCGTTTTAGTATGGTATTCTTAAGAAGTGCACATCCACGACCCAACAGTGTTAATGCCTAACTTTAATCGAAACGGCCGTTCAGCACTTCCAGGTTTTCAATAGTAATCTGGCTTAGATCGACTCATGAATTCAACTATTAAACTTACTACAATCTCCAAAACTCCCCATTCTGAAAGTTAAATTAATCTAAGTTTAATTAGTACAAAGGATCAGAGCAAGAATATTTGATGCGATCAATCAAAAAGAAGATCTAACCAAATCAATACCATGTCTTTCCAGTCAAGGTGATTTACGTTAGGTATGTGTGTGAATGTATTTATGTATGTTAAACGAACAAAAATGTGACATTATTGGTGCAAAAGAACGGAGTTGAGTCTGTATGTATGATATTGGAGTGAGATGTGAACAGACCAGACATCGTAGCTCAGATAGATGGTTCAAATTGGATGGATTTTGAGGCCTTCTTTTCTGTTGAGAGTAGTAAGATTAAGCAATATGTGAAAAAGCCTTTATGTATTATTTTGATTTTTTTAATATCAACATGATGGTTATTGAAAATGGCGTCAACTGCTATTCACGATTTAGTTTGAGGTCTTCCTAGTTCTAGGAAGGATTTTGTATACCTCAGATATTCGTTGGCTCAAGTCGTAATTTCACGAGATGACTCTCCAATATAGAGAACATTGCAACCGAGTCATCCTAATTCGTAGACTAAATTCTGTGTTAACATACATGGATATTTCCGTTATACGAACTACATCATTTCAGAGGGTGTTAATTGTTTCGTAATATACTTTAATTTTGTGTTGTTCTTCTGTTGTACCATGGTGGTCAAGTAAAACTGCAGTGCCAATCCATGGTAATTCATTCGAGTGATTACATATAACAGTTAAACGCCTCGTATTGCACTTTTATTAATGTTCATAGGAAAATTATTAAATTGTTAGATATTAATTGAGTCCTTCTGTAATTTTATTATAAAAACGTTTTGATTACATACCATAAGCAATGAAGTTTAGTTCGAAACGACTAAAGGTTATGCTTTCTATGAATGTTTCTTGTTAAAGTTAATTTCCTAGATTTCATTATACTTAGTCATTCATCATTGCTATAGCTGTCTTACCGTGGCAATGATAGGTATACCACACTGTCGTTCGATATCCAAAAATCAGATTGGAAGCGCTTGATGACGATGGCCTCTGCAAAGCAGAATAAAAGTGGTGTACGCTGTCTGTTTATTATTCTAAGTGCTTTTGAGACATGTGTATGGAACGCACCTATGAAAAATTTACTTCCTCTCAGACAATTTACGGGAAATATTTTCCGAAAACCTTGTAGATCCCCGTCTTTCAATCCTTCATATGCATTTACTTTCACGAGTACATGTAAATTCGTAAATACACTTACAGTTGACTTCAAAAAAATGTATTGGTTCACTTTTGATTGATGTAAGGAACATCTGATGTTATATACCGAAAATAGATGGGCTGGAGGAAAACCTATCTTTAGCGCTGCTTTAATCAATCTTGCCTAAAATCTCCTCACTTTTGAATTCAAGACATATGAAAACAGGTTTTCTGTTAACAGTTGTCTGTTTAGGACCTCCTGTAATCATTTTTCTACACTTCATAGTAATTGGTTTTGGATCTACACTTTTTGTAAGGCACTCTCCAATGCATGCTATTACTTCCTGTATTTTATCGGTCAAACACAACTTCAAAGCTCTGGTGAACAGGGTTTTGAATAAAAAACACTTGTAACCAACAAAACAAAACTATCATAATTTAAGTATTACCCTGTCCATATTTATTTTTTGAATAAGGTCTTTTCCCTTCTTCCATTGTTCATGCGTTTTGTTATTAGGTTTAAATAGTCGAACTGATTTTTATGTTCATATTACATAATAAAATTTATGCAAACATGTGCTTCACTAATCTGATAAAGCGACGGTGAGACGTAGTCCATATTATTACGAACATTAAATGTATTTTTAACAAACCTTCTGTAGAATGTTGCATCCTCGATTTCTTGTTTAAGTTCCCGTTATTTAGGATTAGCTATAAAGATGGCCAAAAATGCTTTAGTGACAATTCCATGGTCACCCCATCAATTTGTCTGCATAACTGGTAATCAAATTTGATTCGAACCCCTTTCATGCATAGTAAGAGTAATTTTTTAAACTCATTTTGGGGCAAATGCAGTAATATGGAATGGTGGAATCCTGTAGTTATAGTCTCTTTCTTGGTATATTTGCAAATAATGAACAAACATCAAATAACGCTTCAAGTTTGTCTCCGTCATATCAAAACACACGTTAATTTAAACACTATAAACAAAAATGTTCTGCTCAAAGAAGCCTAAAATTTCATTAAGAAACTTTGTGAAAACATTAAATAAAGGTAAAAATAGCACTTCGTAAATAGAGTAGTATTTGGTAGGCCGATAGCTCACGTAACACGTCCATTTAGACTTTGAATAATAAATTAATTCCCAAACAAAGTGATCCGGATGTTATTTTCTATGTCTGAATCCATAAAATAAAAAAGACATTTCTATACTTTTTAAATACCTTTGTGGAGCAATTCACTTTAGTGGGTAGTTTTGAATAATACTACTTATTAGTAGTATAGGTTTTAATTGTATTTTTATTTAGTAGGTTCACTGATAACCATATTCACTAGACAATTCATCGAATTTGCTTCATGGATAACTAGTGTTAACTGCTCGTAATAACTATGCTCTCAGTCACTGACTAGAACTGAATATGAGTAGATTGATCAAGGTAAAGCTCTTTGGATAATTAATCATCTTATTCCATACAACGTTTTAGCAGTTACATAAAAATTTCAACTTGGATCTTTGATTATTTTCACGATGCATCATTAAAAAATAAGGTCAGTTTTATAAAATGGCTCTAGTGGTTTTATAGTAAAAGTAATGTATTTCATAATAATCGATTTAAGCCTATCAAAATTTCTGTTTCCTTCATTTAGTCTACTCAGGATTGATAAACATGTTTCTATATTATCCATTTTCGATTTCAGCTTACAGAACAAATAGACTTTTTGAAAAGACGACAGATTTGTACAGGAAAGTGTTCACAATTGAAATCAATGAAATCTGACACTCATGCAACATGCACTACACAATTTAGAACATTAAGAAAACCATTATCATCAGGTAGTATTGTTGTCTTTTGATATATTTTTGAATATTTTTTTTATTATCTCATTCAATTGATTAAAATATAAATCTATGTAAAAATATTATTTAAAAACAATTTGTTTATCATTTTAGAGTTTCATAGACTAATTCTTGATAACTTCGTTGGGCAACTTTATTTAATACTACATAAAGTTAGAAGTAGATAGGATAATATATCTGAGATGCATTCATATACGTTCAAACAGAGTAATTTAGGTTCGATTATTTAGCACCTTTCCTATAAACAGTTACCATGTTGCAAAGTTACTTGGAACAAACTTTTATTACTGATTACTCTGAAGGTTTATTGAAAGGTAATTTTATACTACTTGTTTATTTAATATTAATTACTGTGCAAGTTTAGTTATCAATTTTAAAAAACACAGATAGTCTAAAGTCATAGTAATTAACAATGATTATCTCATTACCTATAAAATAAAATAGTTTGACCAAATAACTATAAACAAATAAATTATGAGATTTATATCCAAGTACTATGTGGGTCTGTCATCTTCAAATGAGGTGAAAATTTTTTTCAAAATTTACATCAACTGATTTCAACAACATTTTTAGTGAACTCACCATTCCAACTAAATGTACAGCTGCAAGCAGGATATAAAATTTCCTAGCTTACTGCATTTCTTCACATCATTACGTACGTATAGAAAATATGATTTGTAAATTTTTCTTTGGACCGTTAATTATTGAACTATGTTGAAAATTTTCATCGAAAGTTAATAACCACAAATCCACATAGAATTCGATGCCAGAAATTATATATATATATATATTCTTAATGGAATACACTATAACTAGTAAATCCTCGTAGCAATAAGTAATTCACTTAGCCCTATTTGTATTCACAAAGTCATGTTCTCCTTTAATAATTTCATAGAACTCATTAAAAAATTGCAAAAATTTATTTAATTTTTTAAACAAACGTTTTAAATAACCCTAAATTTAGTTTGTGCAAAAATACAAAAAGTACGTTTGGTAAATACCTTTATCAAATGTATGTCCCCGTTACTGTTTTCTTCAATACTTCAAACTATGTAAGAAAAAATTAATAGTGACATAAATCATACTAATAGGCAACTGAATAATATGTTATCAAATTGATTAAGCGGTCGAACTGAGAATTAAGTGGATTGTGATGAAATCGCAGTTATGTGAATGGCGTAGAACAATTCTATACATTTAATATATATCCATTTTATTAAAATTTGAACAAATAATTTAACTAATGGGAAATGCATCATCTATTCAGTAAATAATACGACTTTATACTTTCTTTTAATACTTTGTAACTAGGGTCATTATTATCTGATCAACATTTAACTTCAGTCGACTATGAGAAACAAGCAAGTGAAAATGCTATCAGTGAATTAAAAAAGCAGGTTAATAATTGTTTCTTCACCATGTTTTCATAAAACGTTTTCCGCAAGCTATAAATAATAGTTTGTCCCACTACATAATAATTTTTTAAAATACTTTTGCATTTAAATAGTAGTAATATAGGTTGACGGATTATACTTATTAAATTCATACATAAGCAGTAAACAATTAATGCGTATGCTTTTCAGTAATACGGGGTAAAATTTCATTTTATAAGACTGAAAATTATCACAAAGCGAAAGAAAAAAGATAAATCTGGCTTTTTGCTTCATTCATTAAAATATTCGAAATTTTTAATGTCATTAATTTTCAAACAGTTTCGAATATTTAGAAGTTATCCAGGTGGATAGTTTAAAAATCATGTCACATTTATCTAGATTTCGATGTAACTGGTACTTTCTCATTAGTATCAGACAAAAAATATAGTGAAACCAAAAATGCATCGCCACGAACAAACTCATCATCTATTCAATAGACCACAGTTGTGACCAATAACGTGCATGTATCTCGAAGGTTATATAAATATACGTATGATGTTAACGTGAAGTTACCTTACTCAACAAAACATTTTTTTTGGAATGTTATGTCATAAAAATGGTGAGCTGTAATGTAATACAATAATATTTACATGATTGCGAAGAATGAAACGGACCAAAAAAGTATTTACTATTTGTTTCTGTTTGTTGTCTGTAGTTGATGAATGTGGATTAACTATAGTAAAGTTGTGCCTAATAATAAGCTCAAGATATACATAAATAAGTACTTTTTATCTTTCATACTCGTCCTACTTAAGCTTATTCGTTAATCTTACCAGTATTTATTACCCAAATCAACTTTTAGATGGATGAATCAAAGTCAAAATGTGACAGAATTTCACTAAAACGGGAAAGTTGTGAAACAGTTAGCATCGACAAAATTAAAGAAAAATTTAAAACTTCTCAAGGTAAACTAAATGGTCTGTTCATCTTTTAGTTGTATCGATTTCAAAAAATAAAATTAACAAAAAACATTCATCCATCCCTGATGATGAAAAAAATCGTTGGGTTATAAACTTTTGAAACATTTTTAGGTTATGGTGAATGATAGCTAACATTGGAATCTAAGACGTGAGCTTCATGTTTTTGAGGACTCTTCAGTTGGGTGTAATCTCATTCCAAAGTTCATGCTCTTCCCCGTGCCTTCGAACGCCAGTGCCTTGTTCAATAGGATGAATTTTAATTCATATGTCTTGTTTGTTTGAAATATTTCGATTATCGTGTAGTACTGCAAATGATCAACTTCCAATTAGTCCCTACCAGAACTAAATGAGCGTTCTGAACCCCATTATAAACCACCATCGATTTCTGCTTAAAAATACTCAAAATTTAATGACAATATCGTGACAATCTGCACAGGATAAAAATATGTCAAACTAGACTGATCAATTTTAATTCGTACGATCAATAGGAAGTTTCAAGTAACCCATACACATAAACTTCTAAACATTTTATATAATTTAAAATATTGTAATCAAAACTACTTTTGTGCGAATCATCTACTGTGTATCCCTTTGAGATTTCTTATTTTATTGAAATATAAACTTTAGAAATTAACATTCTGTAAATATTAGATAAATTATAATGAAATTAAATATGTGAGAGGGAAGTATTTCATTTTTGTAAAAACAAATCATAATAAAATTCATAAGAGAGGAGTATAAAAGAAATGTTCTGATTGTTACTTACTATGAATGAATTATATGGTAATGTATTGGCCAATAAATCCTATATAAAACAAGTACTAGGTAAAATTGTGTTCATTTATAGTAAATTATTGTAAATATTTTTCCTACTGTTCACTAATGGTTTAAAATAAAGATCGAACATAACATATTTATCATGAACATTGGTTCAATTATTCTGTATAAGTCTTCAATAATGATAATTTATTAGTATGTTCAAGGTTGTAACTTTTGTGATATTGAAAAAGAGACATATTGTAAAATTGATTTATTCCACTGTCTCACGATTACTTATTGAATTTAATTAGTGTGATACAGTGGAATAATTGGAATCACAATTTATCATGAATAGTTTTGAAGCTCGGAACAGTTTGTCAAATAAAATGATGGAATTATTTAGATTTCAATCGTCGAGATTATTCACCTATAGTTTTTACACATGACATGTTCTATATAGTTGGCGCTTATTTTTTGTCAGATTATCCATTCAAATGTTGACTACTGTTAATATAAATGTCTGTTTATGTATACCAACACAAAATTATCTCAACTTAGATGCTTCTTCAAAATTATATCTGTTATTAGAAAACACTACTCGAAGAAATATATCAAACGCTGTAAAACAATCTAATGCTATTTTCAGTTTACAACAACGATTAGGAAATTTAGAAATGAATATGTACAAAGTAAGTGAAGATAAAGGAAATCTACAAAGTCAAAATGAACAGTTGACAGATTTACTTCGAAGGTTAACAGAACAAAATCAACGTCTTACAAAGGTAAATAACTGACTAACCAATATTTTAAGACGTGTTATCATAAAACTATTTATCTCGATGTATTTTTATGGTAGTTTAAACAATAGACTCCTGTACATTGTGACTTATATAAATAAGGAATAAAGGTATCAGGGTTTATAAAAAATCAGTTGATTTTGAAAACAAGTCAAGATGAAAGTATTTGAAAATACACGTCCAATGTCATTACACTTCTCATGACAAATATTTCTGTCTTATCATTTTAAGGAACTCGATAATCGTATGATGGAAGCGACGCGAGCTAATAAACAAGCAAATTATTCATCTCAAAGAGTAGTTGAAAGTTCAACAGGATTTCAACAAAAAAATAACAATAATTTTTATGATTATTCAAATGAACTATTAAAAATCAGTAATTGTAATAATGATGACAGTGTTTGGAATGAAGAAAAGCTTCTAGATGGCTACCGTAACACTAACAATTTTAATAATGGAAAATCAAATCAAAGGTTTGCATTTCAATTTGTTTATTATTATAAATCTCTTAGATAAATACAATTTATGGATCTCGTTCATCCTTCTTGTTCTAAATTCATTTCGATAACAAGAGATGAGACTCTTAAATGTATCTTTAGAAGATTCACTTTACAATCTGTGTACATAAATCAATGAAATACAATCATAATGTCCAGATCACCCTATAAACAAATGTGATTTGATTATGTTGTGAAACTTGACCCAGTTTAGTTTCTTTCAAACCTACATGAAAAGTGAAATGAGTTCAAAGTCTTTATAAAAACCTCTAATATGTGAAATATCTACACTATAATACATAAATGTGTTCCTAACTTATGAATAATTTATATTACTTCGGATATACAGTATGAATTCCTCTACCGTTAAACCATAATTAAGTCTTCTGAGTAATTCCGATCGATGAAACATAAGGCTATTTGCAGTGATTACATTTATTGAAAGACTGAAGACTTCGTCAGATACTATAATACGGAAAGTGAAGATAAAAATTAATTCCTTATTTAAGATCAGTTTACACAAAGCGAGCGTGAATAATTTCTAAGACTAGAATGTCTTAGGTTGAAGTATATTTTAACTTGACATATTTTGTAAGAAGCTTGATAATCATAGAGTTTACCTTTGCTTTACAGCAAATTGCATTCCAATATAAGTGAATGATTTCAAATATCAACATGTTGGTCATTTTATTTTACATCACTAACTTTTAGGTCACAGATCTTTGTAGTTCTATGTTTTATTCATTATAGATAGCTGATAAAAATTCGAATCAGTATATTGATTTTAACTCTGCACATCTGTTCAGTGCATAAATTTCCATAGCCATGAGTTTTTTCAGAAGGGCAAGCAAGATTATTACTGCAGAAGACATACTCAAAGAAAAAGACAATATATAATAAGCATCCTACAATCTATTAACTTTCGTAAGAATATCATTAAAAACATATTAAAACAAAACTGTCATTCCTTGAATTACAATTCCAATGAAAGACCTTGGATCGGTGCTGTAGTTTTACCATACCGATAGGGTACGACAAAATAGTTACAATTGATCCTGAAAACCTACAAAATTAAAGCTTATCATACGACAACCAACAATCTAAAAACTTTTAGTTAGAATAAAAGATAAGATCCCGTTTACGTCTAAGGAAAACTGTCTACAGATTTATTCGTGTCGATTGTGATGCGTCCTAAATTGGAGAGTCTTCCTGTGAGATCCCAACGCGTGCGAAGGAAGACGTAAGTTACACGAAAAGATCAAATAATCCTATAGAATTTCAAAATCTACGAGTTAATTCATTAGTATTATATGGTATTTTCAATAATCACCGCATTGATATAAAAACATCAAAATAATACAGAAAGGTTTTTCCAACTTTACAAATGCGAGTGGCTGAAGCGTTTCTCATAGTGCTAAATCCCTCTCTTCTCAAAGGAAAGAAGTTCTGTCTATTCATCCAACCTGGACTGTTTATCCAAACAACCACATTTGACCCTATCCATTTTTCACACAATCTGCACATACAATTTTAACCTCATTACTCTTTATTATAAATGTATATATTATTCATACCCACCTTCTAACGCACAAATATATGCAATGATATGTAAAACAGAATCATCTTCACCAAAATAACATGACATCGACATGTTCAGATCTACTATGATTTTGGTTGTACTAACGATATTCTGCATTGTTTCAAATGTAATATTTAGACTTCTGTTAATTTTACTTAGAATAGTTAATTGCTTTGAAGAAGTAACTTACATAAAGTCACGAAACGTCAGAAACACAAATTTCTACTCATTGCGATATCCCAAAAACATATTTACTATTAACACTATGTGTTCTTTTTCCTTGTTTTGCTTAACTACGTAAGGATGTAAGGAATATGGTCTCAGTCATACTAAAATTATTCACGTATATGGTTAAACAAAAGCTAATTTGTTTTTACAATTGGTTTACGTTTTTAAAGCATTTTTACTATATTCGTATTATTTGATACACAACTAATAAGAATCTGTTTTATATGAATATTTTTGGAATATTATTTGAAACAGACCACATGAAAACAATGAAATTTTAACTTTGCCTAATCGAACACTTGAAAATACGTCCGCAGTTCAATTGAACGATAAGAATAAGACATACTACACCCAGGAACAAAATGCGCAAAGTTTGAAATCGAATACAACACGAACCTACTATTCAGTCAATGATAGCGCTATACTATCTAGCCAATCGAATGATTCGGACGAATTAGTTATGAGAGAAATCAAAGTAAATAGTAGTGGTAAGTTTCCTGATGTAAGCAGAGTATTTTCTGATATACAATAAGTCTATCTACAAAATATTCCAGCTATGGATTTTAAATCTTTTCGCATAAAGTAGAAATTATTTAAGAAAAAGCTAAACACCATGGTTGATAGTCAATTACATAAAAGTTATCAGTTTGACCAAATACATAACTTTAGACATTTTTACACTAGATATAATGTTTCTCATGCAGTAATTGTTAGTGAAGATTCAAACGAATTCATATAAAATTTTTTGATCGATACTTTAAGTTTGTTTACATTTCAGAGTGAGTTAATTTGTCTCTCTCTAAACGGAAGCCTCCATTATGACTTTATAATAGTGTTGATTATGTCTTGAATGGCACTACTCAATGAATTTCAAGACGCTCATTACTTTAATAATTTTGTAGATAAGTCTCCGAGGTCTGAGTGTAAACACCAAAAGTGGAATCCAGATAAGTTTTAGTGAAATGTTTTAAAATGAAAGGGAACAATAATTTTGAGCAGATTTGATATCCATTATTTATAATATAGTTCATTTAAAAGTCGAGAGATGCTTCGATTTCTGAGTCAGCCACTGAAGAACGAATTAAGAGATACACATTCTACGAAATCCAATATTTCTCTACACTGTAAGTGTAGAAGACGCAACTGTAAATGATTTGAAGGAAATAATTTCGGGTGTTTTACTAAGAATACCAATGTTTTAGAAAATTCCACAGTTTCCTGAATTCATTTAAAAGATGAAAGCTGTGTTTCATAAACTCACCTAAATAAAAATATAGCACATTTTAATGACATTGCATACACCTTAGCGAATTAACGTTGAATTCTTTGAATCATCAATTAGTTTTATTGTTATTATCATATTCAGTAACAATTTCTAATGAAACTTTCATTTTTATTTCACCGTAACATTTGAAATTTCCAGAAAGTAACAATTATGACAAGTATTTCAAGAATCAACAAAACTTTAAATTAGACACTAAAATACCAGATCAACCAAATTCTTCTACTCCTAGTATTGATGTACATATAACAGCGAATAATTATAAAACATTTTTAAATTTCAACTACCAAAATACCAAAGCTAACACTTTAAAACATGAAATCCAGTATGGAAAACAGTTGACTGTCACAGATTCTGAATTCAAACCTACTCCGCTAGAATTAACTAATCATAATACTAATAATAATGGAATTATAAATTGGAAATTTAAAAAATATGATAAATCATTAGAAATCTATTCAGATAATGAAGTTACAACTTGTCCAGACAATACTTCACCAAGAACCTAATTTTTTAAGTAAGTAATTTCATATTGATATTGGTTTACAACTTTTTTTGAAGTATATTTAAATTCTTCTTGTTGTTTTATCAGCTTTTTGTCAACAAAATACATTAGTTCAAGAACTTGAAAGCGCTTATAAAATTAATTAATATCTTACAACATTTTATTCATTATCAACTCTACATAACAGTAAATTCGGTTATGACTTGGCATATTTTACCTTTGAAAGTTGGCGATTATGTAGTAGTGGAAGGTGTTAGTTAACCACTGTGAATTTGCATTAAATCCACAAAATTTAAAGATAATTCGGTATAGTTGTGTAAAGTTACTGAGGTGTACTAATAATTTACTCAGCGATGTTTTGTTTCAGTGTAATATTTTTCAAACATCGTGGATATATTTTACTTTAACTTTATTCTATGAGTAAAACTATACGGATCACCGTATATTTCATCAACAGATTAAAAACTATTTACAAAGAAACATTTTTCAATGATATGTAGAAGTATTACATTCGTATATTCAGGATTTCTTATCAAATATTGATTAAAAAATTTTAAGCTGATAAATATCCTTGTAATATATTTAAAGATGAAATTTCTTTGTTTCAATTACAAGTTATTTTATTGAGCTCTACTTGTTTTGTTGATGAAAATTATCATTTAGTTACTTCTTAGTATGAAAACAGCCATTTAGAGTAGGAATACAAAAACATTAAAACTATACTTTACAGTTACTTATGGAAGAGGTATTTATCTTGTTTGATTTCATCAACATCCAGGTTTTCGATGGTGGTCTAGCTTCAATTGACTCATGATTTCAATTAGTGAAATTTCTAAAATCTCCACAAAACCACTTCTCAAAATAAATAAATTGAAATGTCTTCTAATGAATTAGTTTGAGGAAAATGTAAAACCAATTTATGTGGTCAAGTGATAGTAAATAATCTGCAATTAATCTCAAATGTCAAATGTCAATTTTTTATTTAAGTGTAATGATTTTACTAACTCTTATCGGAATCAAATCACTAAAAATTTAGTTAGTTAATTTACTGGATAGTTTCATACGAAGTTAATGTAAATTATAAATAGTAAATTGAATTAACATGGATGTCGATTATAATTCTGTCTTTGTGATAACTTGTAGTTCACCTTTTTTATGTTAAACCCATTTATACCATCTTACTCTCTCCACAAATGTGCAAACATGCCAATTCTGTTGATTAACGTGTTCAATAGTCATTTGAATTTCCCACTAACAAAACAATTAATAAAATAAGCAAATCATTATCCATTCATGATCTGCCGAGAATTAAATAGTTTTAGATCCGGGACTATGATTGATTACCTATATAGTACTAACAGATCATAATTAATCGAGCCAGTATGTTTGCTCAATAGTTTACATATACCTAATTTCTCTATATGGTTACAAACTTACCAAAATTTATTGATATCATATCAGAAGATATGTTTCTCTACAGCAAAAATATTGTTTATGAAATTTGAAATGACAGTATTTAGATAACTTTCTCTTACTTTACTATTATTATTATTATTACTATTATTATTGTTGTTATTATTATTAATGGCTTTATTCAATATTATATTTTGGTACAATATAAAATTCTCAGTACAGGGTATTTCAACAAGTTACTTATTGAGCAACGAACAAAAAGGCAGTAGCAAATACAAAAAGAAATAAAAAAAGGTTTTTAAAAAAATTAAACACAAAAATTAAACATGTCAGTTAGGTCATCTGTCAGTATTTATTGGGTATGAGGACGGTTTTTTTCACAATGCTCAATCAAATTGAAGACACATAATAAGATAACAATGAACTGTCGTTCTGTACAATGATTTATAATCCTTATTTTATTAGTATCCAGGCGCCAAAATCATACGTTCACGTAGCTGTTGCGTAATCGGTAATCTGTTGGATGTATTCAATAATTTATGTTTTCCCAGTCAACTGAATTTGTAGTGAATCCGACTTATTAGGCTTGGTCATCAACAAATATCTATCCTTACATAAACAGAATGTTTTGAAAAAGAAAGTCTAGTTGTCTTATCTCTTTCGTGGCATGGATTAAAAGTACAAAACTTACATGAACGCAGGACGTTTGATACCAAACAGTGACCAAACATGAATAATATAAACTATAAGATTGTAATCACTAGGACAAAATGTTAAATCCGTCATGCAACCAGAAATTCCATATACTTGAGAACGGAAAACATTAATGTAAAATTTATCTAAGTTTTATGATGGCAGATATCACTCTGACAGTTAAATTCTTATTTAATCTGTATAAAACGTTCGTGGTGCTCTATATTCTATACAGAAATGATTGTATTTAGGCATAATCAAAAGGATATTATATAAAAATGGGTATATCTATAACTCATTTCTAAAGTAATAATAAAAATTTTAAAATACGATAAACTTTACTTGTTTCATACCAGAGTTCAAACCGTAACATCTATTATTACCTTTGATGAAACAACCCTTTTTATTTTTATATTAATCGGAAATAATTTATCAGAATGCTTGATTCGTCTCACCAACAGTGCTCATTCACGATCCCGCACGCTGGATTCGAACCAAAGACCTACGAGCCTTGTGCGCGAATGCTTAACCTCTAGACCACTGAGCCGGCATCCAACGGTGCTAATGTCTAACTTCAATCAATTCACGACGTTGCGCCATCGTGAAAAGTAGTGACCAGTGGAATTCGACCATGTATCTGTTGTGAGGCCGTTACTCATTGTAGACAAGGATGAACGGTCACGCAATATCATGGATTGGTTGAAGTTAAACAATTACACCGTTGGATGCCGGCTCAATGGTCTAGAGTTTAAAAGTTCACACGCAAAAGTGATGGTCCTTAGTTTAAATCATACGTGCTGGGACATTGGTGCGCGCTGTTAAGGAGTCCCATACTGGGACGAAACGGTCATCTAGTGTATCCAGGTTTTCCATGGTGGTCTAGCTTTAATCGACTCATGAATTCACTTATTAAATTACTACAATCTTCACAAATCCCCTAATCTGATATTAATTAATGTTGTATATTTAAAAGCTGAAGTTGGATTATTAAATAAAAATATATCTAATAAAAATTATTAGAATTAAGCCACTAATTACTGGTTGATCAGTAGTGTTGTTATAACAATTTTAGGCAAAAACCCATCAAATTTATTTTATGTTACCAATTAAAAAAATATGAATTTTTAATGTAAATAAATTAAATTTTAAAAAATCTTCGATTTTCTGCATATGACATTTACTTTTTCAATTTTATTAAGTTATAAGAGTTTATGGCTAAGAGTTTGTGCATATCTATCTATCCATAAATTTGTTCTTCCAAATTTAAGTTCTCATTGAAAATACGTTTGTATCAAAAGAAGAAACTTATTTCAAAATTCACGTGGTTATTCTTGAGTTTGTATTTTTTTTTCTAATGCACTTTTCTATTTAACAAGCGAAATATTATATACACACATATCATATGATCATATAAAAAAGTATTTATCGTAAACGACTCAAACTAATATTATAATGATAATATTTCATATAATGGGAATAATTGTGATATTCTTTCTGTTATTCTTTTTATAATTGATAAACTACTCTATTCATAGTTATTCAATTACTAACAATAGTATAATGGGCTTAGAATATAAGTGAGAAAATTTTTATAAATATTGTAAAGAATTACTAATAGAATATTAGCGTAAAATCTTTTTATTTTACCAAATAGGAAACTAAAACATTGAAATAATGAAGCTATCAAAGTAAAAACAGATTAACTACCAACCATATAAATCTTTAACCAACCACTATGCAAAAAATTACTGATTTAATTTTTGTTATCCTCTTTTGTGAACATGGTGGCACGTTTACAATATCATGAAAAGAAATGTATACGTAGTTGCTTTTTAACTTCATGGATAATACATGATTCAAATAATGCACGTCAATAAATTTGGCGTTTATTGATGAACAAATGTTATCCTAAGTCAGGATAACTTGTTTAAACGCAGAACACATGTTGCAGACTGATGTATAAGCATTAATGAAGTTTTAACAAGAATATATCGGTGATTTAAAAATATGGTTGTTTAATTTACAAATGTGTTTTTAGCATAATAGTTCGAAAATCATACTAGGTTTGTGGTGTATGCTACTTGTGTCTGCCAACATAAGTGGTGTGTAACAACAATTGGAAGTGGAAAAACTGGCAGCAGAAGGATAAGAAGATCGAGTTGAAGAGAATAGGAGGGAAAATAGAAAAGAATAGTGAACTTGAAGAGTCATTCAGGATGTGAGAGACAAATGATGGAAATTTGAAAATGAGAATATTCAGTGTATGGTTCTTATATGTTACCAAAATACTCTGTAATAAAGATTATAATAAAATATAATGACCATCTCTATGGTCTAATGTTTGAAAACTATAGTTTATCTTCATAAAGTTTTTAGTTTGTCCATATGGTAATTAATGAATGACGTTTGTCATGTACATTTCTAGTTGACTTAAAATTGTACTTTTGTTTGCTCTACTTGTTTGAATAAATTACAATACACTGATCTATATTTTGAAAATTGAAAGTTTCCTCTTGTGCAATAGTATATGTATTCTTTGTTTTATTTGATGCTATTATTTGATAATATGAATATATATATGTACGTATTTATGATAATATTCGTTAAGTTTTTGATTGACATCACGGACCGATTGATGTTAGACCACCATAAAAACCTGGAAGCACTTGAAGGCCGTTTCGTCCTATTAAGAGACCACTGAGCCAAGTTTTGTTTGCAGTAGGTTAAGCGTTCGCGGCCATGGTTTTGAATTCCGTGAGCGGGATCGTGGATGCGCACTTCTGAGGAGTTTCACAATAGGACGAAACGACCGTCCAGTGCTTCCAGGTTTTCAATGGTGGTCTATCATCAATCGGTTCATGATCTCAATCAAAAACCTGATAATCTCCACAACCCTTAAACTGATAATATTCGTTAAGTCTAGATCTGTTAAAAGGATCACTCTAGTTTACACTAAACACTAAGTAATGTCTTGTCGTTTTAATTACTTCCAATAATTTGGTTAGTAGTCGTTTCTTCTTAAATAAAGTTATTTAAATGTTTGATTGGTCTCATTTTTATAGGTATATTGTTTTCTTAATAGTTTGATTTAGTTAATTGTATATTCCTGAAAACATGATCAATAACAAGTTTCTTTATACTTATACCGTTTTATAGCTTTCAATTGTAGCTATTTCTAACAAATATATACATAATAAATAAGAACAGAAATATTATTTTTTGGAAAATTTCTTAAAAACATGAAATCAAATCATATTAAATTTGGTAAATACTTAATCCAATGTGTTTATTTCAGTATAGTAAAGTTTATGAATTAGATCTAATTCTTTTAAATCAATCCAATAAATTAATACTTTCTCATATGTCAATATAAGAATTAAAATACTAAATAGTACGTTTCTATCTCATTTTAAGGACATTAAAATAGTTAGTCATTTCCTATTAATTTACTACAAATACACTAAAAAATAATGATGACTTTAATGCAAAAAATGTTTGAAAGATTTAAGTCGAATTTCACGTATCTAGAAAAGTTTATTTACTGCCCAAAATAAAGGAGAAAGTTTCTACTATTTTATCTCAAAAATCAACTGTGAAAACTTTCTTCATAATGAACTATATTGATATGATTAAAAATTCTAAAAATATAATATAATTATAGGGTTCCGGAATAAAGGAGTTCCATGAGAATATAACTTTTCATTTTTTTATATATTCAATATTATTTACATATATAAAAAGAATTATTTTATCTAAATAAACTTTTGTCATACTCAGTACCATGTGAACTTATTCTCTCATTAGTTGGCATAGAGTTTGTAAAATAGAATGTTCAAAAAATAAACCATAAAAAAGCCAAAACTGATTATTCATAAATTATTATTTATTAAGCTTAATCTTATCTTTCTTGTATATATATACATATATATATATCACTTGCAAGTACATTTGATTTTGGCAAAGAAGTAATTGCTAAAATTATTACATTGAATTAGGGATATTTTAATTCCAAAGTTAAATTTAACCTAAAGATATTTAATTTATTATTTCAGAAATTATTAGCAATACTTTATGGCTCCAACAGTATATCATATATTCTTTTTTTCATTTAACAGATTACAAAAAATAAATTAGTTATACAGAATGCGATTTTATCGACAATCTACCGGAAACTTAACAGAACATTCAAATGAAACTCTTATCATCGTCAATATATACCAAGGAGATGACGTAAGATGTTGGCCGATGACCTTAATAATCTCCGTTTTTCCAAATATTTGAGCGTTATATATATATATATATATATATAATTGTATCCCATTTCTTCAGCCTAACATACAAATATTTTGCAATTATTGTATTTTTACAGAGAACAATTGGATGTTCCGTAGGATACATAAAAAATACACAAATATAATTAATCAACAGTACTACTGACTCCTTGCTTGTAGACGACACGGGAAACTTCTAACTAAATTCGATGTCTTGTTAGCTTGGTTTTTACGATGAGTAAATGTTGAATAACTTCTCCTGTCAAATAATCATACTTCTAATTCATTATTTTACTGTAACAGCAGATGCGGTTACCTCTCTACTTTTCCTTATTAAGTTCGTTTTTGTGTAAAATCACACCAAATAAATGTGTAAACGTGTTTATTACCGCAATTCAAAATTGACACTTTCTACCACGTAAAAAGGTTTAAAAGATTTTTCGATATCGTAAAGTCTAAAAATTATCGCAATATTTAAAGCTCAACTCAACTTATGATAATTGGAGAAAATACCACTATCCAGACTAACTTTAAATTGTTTATTTTAGGTCATCAGAATAAATGTTCATAATCATTCACTGAATCTACTATTGATCAGTTAATAAATGTTTTTAAGATTCTGAAGTTTCAATCTAACGGAATAATCTAAACGTTAGAGTTGTGACAGTCGAAGGAAATTAGATACAAGGTATTCAAAACGGCTGACGGATTACATTTTTGTAGTAAAGAAAATATGATCCTTAAAAAGTATACAATCTGATCATGAAATAAAAGTGCACACCTCATTACTTCAAATATAATAACTCTTAACCTGTAACACATACTAAAGCCATATAGACTAAATTTTGTTTCAAATAAAAATTCTCACCCTACTAGCTTGCTAATGAAGTAGGAAAGCCACCAAAATTACTTCTAACTATTCTTTATGACTAACTTTGAATCGTATTTATCAATAACCACATACTTTGATACGTTCAGGAAAAATCAGCGTCTATTTAAATTTTAATTTTACTCTTAAGTCAACTTCATATTCAATACTAAATAAGCTTTTACTAATCACTACAGCCATCAGAGCGGCAGTTCGATTCTAATTTCATCTCTACCAGATTAGTCAATGTAATGAACGTGACGAAAGATTTTCGTTGGAACATGATATCAGCTGATGAATATTACAAACTAGACGGCATAATGTACTTGAAGATTGGAAATTAAATTAGCCGTTCATAGTTCTTATAACTTAAGTGAATCAAAATCAAATAATGTGGTTAGATTTCTTAATAGATATGATCTGTAAACAGACAAATTGGAATAATCACTTATTGCAGGTTTATCTCGCTGACAAATCCCTCTAATGGGACACGCTTCACCTCGAATAAGTCTTGTTTTGATTTCATACGCCTGCATCAATCGACGATACTACTTGTAATTAGAGACTAGGTACTTTAAAATCTAATTAATTGCATACATACAGCGCTGATCTTGTTTATTTGTGAGATCGTCTCATTTTGCTTACAATGTTAATGTAATCATGTAGCTTCTTATCTTCACATGTGTTTAATGATACAAAATAGCTTAACTCAAGTTATACAAGAAGTTCCCAGAAATAGTACGTAAAACAAAGTCAAAACATTTAGTTCATCTATTGTTCATTTTCTTAAAAATTTAAACTTTAAATATATGTTGTCCCCTTAGAATATTGAACTACATGGAATTTGGGAATATCATAACGGAACACCAATACAAGGATAACAGACAGTAAATCATTTAAGTTAATCAATTGATTAATCAATAAACCTGATCTAACCAATACATATGAAAGGTTATATAACATGGTTTGAAAATAAACAAGTAGAACATAATAAAAATTAAATAACTAGGAGCTATCTTCATCCAACCTTGTGTCAAGCGGTAAACCAACTTCCTTCAGGGCTTTTTCTTTGCTCACATGTTTTTCATGAACCTTCTTTAGAGAAAAGTCGGGTTCCCTCAAAATATCACTATAACACAGTGCAGGTACTGATTTGTCTTGTTGTTCAGGATTTCGCCATGGTTTAAATTCTGGTCGGTTTTGAGCTTTCCAACCTGGGTAGCATAGAGCAGCTCGGTGAAGTGACTTTACAAGACGTGGAGCCACCTTTGTGGTTGCTAGGTTTATTGCCCATGATGGAATATCACCTATAGGTTAAACCGGACGAAACAATAAAGCCAAAATTTAAAGCAGTGAATATATGTATGATGAACACTTATATTTCTGTTTTTGAGTTTTAAATTCAGGTTTTTGAAAAATTAGAGTATATTTTCAAACTATTCTGCTTTACATTAAAACTTTATTTAAAAAACCGGAATATGTTACAATTTGTAAGAACAAAGAAAAAGACAACACCCTTAATTCAACCTTATCTGGCCACTTATAAAAATTATTTTATTTGCGTTGCAGTTTGCAGAATGTTTTTTACATTTTATCTTCATAGTATTACTTACTTTTTATAAGATAAAGTAGATACCAGAAAATTAATTACGATTATCAGACAATACATTGAAAGCTTTATCAAATATCCAACCCATCATTTTAATCTTTCTGAATAGTGATTAAAAATTTTGTTTTTTTCTGACCAATACTGATGCCCCTTTTTACTTCTTGTACTTTTATATTGATGTGAAGAGTTAGTTGTAATTATGTGGAAAACAACGTGTGTAATTACGCTACAGTATCATCATATTCTTTTTTGTAACGGAAGCTAGGCACTGTGAAGGCAAAACTTATTATTATCCACTTTAAGGCCGACGATTCACTGTCCGCTGTATGCTTATCCGTATTATATAAAATGACCGTGATCTGATTTTTGTGATAATTATCGTCTTAATAAATATCAAATAATTGTAAATCTTAGAAGCTGGTGTTTGCTGATCCATACATCAGTCATTTCTATAATTCATTCCAACAAATTTCTGTACTACTTATTCTGTATGATTGAAGAGTTCGGAAACCTGAATCGATTTTCTTGCACTAGTATTTACACTGTGAAATCTCTCATTATCTACTAAGCTAGTCATGACATAAGATATGATTTTTATAGAGCCTAATCTAACCATAGTTACATCTATTTGGTTTTTTTCAACTAACTACGTCTGTTTGTAAGTGTTAGTAATTTGCTCGAAGGTGATATCAATAACTGCAATTTATCGATCTGTATTGGCATACTTTCGTCTTAAGCTGAACATAGTCTTTGGTGTAGACATTGAAAATATACTGACACACAGGAATAACTTCATATGAAGTTAGCCATAACTTGAACAATGTCAAAAATTCACACTGACTTTGAAATATATGCCACCATATTTCCTCAATTTTTTCAAAGGATTTCGTGAGTTTTAATTAAAAGTATATGACTAAAGGCTCTGGAACCCCGCAATCAAATAAAAAAACAACGAAATGACACTATAAATTCACTATAGAAAATGAAACAAAAGTTTATCAAAGTTTGCCAACTGTTGACTGAATTTTACATTATGTCTTAGTCTCTTCCACTTTATCAGCAAAAAAATACTCAAAGGACCTGAATGTCGCCTGAGTGACTAAACGAGTGATAAATTACATGCAAGTAAGTTTTTAATATGATTATCTTTTGTTTTTAAGAGAAAAATAGATTTCACAACACTGGAAGCTCTGGGAAACTATTTGTCGTTGTTTCTCCCGATTCACAATTTTGATGGGTTATTTACGAATAATACAAGTATTTCGATAAGAAATAAAAATCAGAATATTCAAGGAGCAAGATTAAACTCAGCTATTTTGCATGTAGTCGACGAGAAAACAGAGTATTGCGGTGTGTTTTATAAATACTACGGTTCACAGCTTGTTTAACTTCATAGAAAAGAAAGTCAATATTTCATTAAGTCCATCTTTTGAAATATATTTTAAAGTAAATTCACATCCAAGACATTTTACTTTTCCTGACACGAAATTTGGGATTTTTAAAAATAATATTTGAACAATATTCGTTGCCCTTAAGACTTTTCATAAATTGTACCTCTAATTGGTTATGAAAAAACGATGAATATAGCCAAAAAGTTACTAAATACGAGTAACGCTAAACAAACTTGAGTACGGTCAGTTTGATTTAATTTACAAGTTTCAGTCAAAATCAAAAACGTTGTTTACCTCTCGGATCGTTCTGCGTTAAATACATTAATTGGCATGATACAGGACTAAGAGCAGTAATAACATAACCAGTAATGAATGTCAGGGCCCGCACATAATCTGATCGTGGAGGCACTTTCTACTCGTTGAAATTGAAGTTAAACAATCTTACCTTGTGGAATACTGATCGATTGAATATAATGTATTCATTTTCATATGGTTGCCACGCGCGCAACATAACAAAGTCGCGATTAGCAAACGCAAATGGTGCCCTGACTACAAACGTTAAAATATATTGGAACCTACATCCGAAATGTTCGATAGAACAGTTCCATGTAATACGGCAAATTTCAGTCGACTCCTTCATAGTATTGTCCCATGACGATCGATAGTCGTTGTCATGCAACATGTCATATATCACATGCGACGATACGTCTGGAAATATGGCTACAACTTTGATCATTTTCATATTGGTATGTGGGGTTGAGCGTGTATAAACTTCTATATTCTTCTTTTTATGTCGGCGTTTCCAGTTTATTTCGTCTTTAACGAAGATCTTAAAGCGATGAAAATCATCGTCTTTAGGAGGTCCAACCTCTCCAAGTCTGAAGATTTCCATTTAAGAATAAATCACCAGGATTCTGAAAAATATTAATCCACCTGTAAACAGATATTTATCAATTGATGTCTTTTGAACAGTTTTTAACCAGAAATTGCTGTTTAGATTTTTTAAGACTGATGAGGGCCAAATTAAAAACCATTGCTAGGAAAACAAAACTGCATAAACACCAAGCTCAAGTGCTGTACAATTATTTTCTCTTAATGAATTTAAACCTTTGTCTAACGGTTATACACAGTTGGACTAAAATAAACTGGTTTGATAACTTGTGATCAGAA